CTGTATCATTAGACAGATGGTTTAGAATGTAACCAAGTCTATAAATATTTACTGTATCATTAGACAGATGAAGAAGACTATAAATATTTACTGTATCATTAGACAGATGAACAAGTCTATAAATATTTACTGTATCATTAGACAGATGGTTTAGAATGTAACCAAGTCTATAAATATTTACTGTATCATTAGACAGATGAACAAGTCTATAAATATTTGATGTATCATTAGACAGATGGTTTAGAATGTAACTAAGTCTATAAATATTTGATGTATCATTGGACAGATGGTTTAGAATGTAGTCTATATGTAACCAAGTCTATAAATATTTACTGTATCATTAGACAGATGAACAAGTCTATAAATATTTACTGTATCATTAGACAGATGGTTTAGAATGTAACCAACTCTATAAATATTTACTGTATCATTAGACAGATGAACAAGTCTATAAATATTTACTGTATCATTAGACAGATGGTTTAGAATGTAACCAAGTCTATAAATATTTACTGTATCATTAGACAGATGAACAAGTCTATAAATATTTGATGTATCATTAGACAGATGGTTTAGAATGTAACTAAGTCTATAAATATTTGATGTATCATTGGACAGATGGTTTAGAATGTAACCAAGTCTATAAATATTTACTGTATCATTAGACAGATGAACAAGTCTATAAATATTTGATGTATCATTAGACAGATGGTTTAGAATGTAACTAAGTCTATAAATATTTGATGTCTCATTGGACAGATGAACAAGTCTATAAATATTTACTGTATCATTAGACAGATGAACAAGTCTATAAATATTTGATGTATCATTAGACAGATGAACAAGTCTATAAATATTTGATGTATCATTAGACAGATGAACAAGTCTATAAATATTTGATGTATCATTAGACAGATGAACAAGTCTATAAATATTTGATGTATCATTAGACAGATGAACAAGTCTATAAATATTTACTGTATCATTAGACAGATGAACAAGCCTATAAATATTTACTGTATCATTAGACAGATGGTTTAGAATGTAACCAAGTCTATAAATATTTACTGTATCATTAGACAGATGAACAAGTCTATAAATATTTGATGTATCATTAGACAGATGGTTTAGAATGTAACTAAGTCTATAAATATTTGATGTATCATTGGACAGATGGTATAGAATGTAACTAAGTCCATAAATATTTACTGTATCATTAGACAGATGAACAAGTCTATAAATATTTGATGTATCATTAGACAGATGGTTTAGAATGTAACTAAGTCTATAAATATTTGATGTATCATTGGACAGATGGTTTAGAATGTAAACAAGTCTATAAATATTTACTGTATCATTAGACAGATGAACAAGTCTATAAATATTTACTGTATCATTAGACAGATGAACAAGTCTATAAATATTTGATGTATCATTAGACAGATGAACAAGTCTATAAATATTTGATGTATCATTAGACAGATGAACAAGTCTATAAATATTTACTGTATCATTAGACAGATGAACAAGTCTATAAATATTTGATGTATCATTAGACAGATGGTTTAGAATGTAACTAAGTCTATAAATATTTGATGTATCATTGGACAGATGGTTTAGAATGTAACCAAGTCTATAAATATTTACTGTATCATTAGACAGATGAACAAGTCTATAAATATTTACTGTATCATTAGACAGATGAACAAGTCTATAAATATTTGATGTATCATTAGACAGATGAACAAGTCTATAAATATTTGATGTATCATTAGACAGATGAACAAGTCTATAAATATTTACTGTATCATTAGACAGATGAACAAGCCTATAAATATTTACTGTATCATTACACAGATGAACAAGTCTATAAATATTTACTGTATCATTAGACAGATGAACAAGTCTATAAATATTTACTGTATCATTAGACAGATGAACAAGTCTATAAATATTTACTGTATCATTAGACAGATGAACAAGTCTATAAATATTTACTGTATCATTAGACTTTGATTTGAGAAATAAAAAGATTATACAGAATTAAGTAGGTTTGTATTACAACTGTCATAAAGAATGGGTATATATTGAAAGTATCAAATGGATTGTGAAGAATTTGTACTGATAGAGACAGGTAAGCGCTAAAGAAATACAGTACTTATGTAGATGTAGAAGTATTTATAAAGTCTTAATATTCATTTACATTGTGACTTTACAGAATCCTATATACAGACACTGGGGACAGTATCATGAAATACAATACTATTTATGAAGTCACAGCATGTATATGGTATATATGGATGTTGAAGAACCTTGTGATCATAAATGGAATGCTGTAGACTAACAGACATTATAGGAATCTGCATCACATAGTATCACCAGTTATAGATGTATTGATAACTTACTACCAAGATCAAATCTGTTTTCTGTTTTTTTAATAGAATGACGAAAGGATGGACGACAGACGCTGTGGTATGACATAGTAAGTTCACTGTTGTAGATTATAAACATGTTTCTTTATATCATTTCAAACTCCAGTTTAAGAACTTTGCAAAAGAGTATTTTCAGAACATGTATATTACTATAATGACATAATTATCTGATCTTCTTACTGAATAACTTAGTATAATTCATGGACTACGATATCTCTTTCTTTAAGATATAGATCAATCAGAATTAATAAGTCAATTCTGGGTCATGAAAGCTTCAGACAAAATAATGGTAAAAGACCCTATGTTTGCGTAGGAAAATAAAACTTTGAATAAGGACCTGAAAGTTCTAGCTATTGAACATTACACAAGACAGAGATGTTGAAAGCATTATATCAGTTAACAGGTAATCTGTTGTAGAATTACTACATTTACACTCAGGAGAGACAAAGCTAAAAGTAACTAATATATTCCATAGAGAACTCACAACTTTGCGCTGGAACACATATTTTTTTCTCTGAAATTTTTCAAAACATTGCAATATCTGGGAAAGAATATACAACATATTTAAATGAAGAAAAAAGGAAGACTACAATTTCACAAGCATAAAAATACTACAATATAGAACTGAACACTGTCTACAAAGGTTCACATACAAAGCATAAACATTGGTGTAAGACAATGATAATACAAACATGCTTTTTGTATATCTTTATAATAAGTCATCCAAGAGGGACCTTCATGCCCAGCATCATTTGATCTTTATTTGTTCATTAAAAGTTAAATTTTTTCCTTTCCATTCTCTTCTTTCCTTTGTTTTTACTCTTATTTATATGGAATTTGATAAATCCTGTAAAGAATTAGACAGTAATTTTCAACTGCCAAATCAAAGATGACTTCCTGACAGTCATTCCTCTATTCTGATCTGTCTCAAAATCAAATGGGCAAAACTAGGGACTAATGGAAACCTATAATAAAGATTGAGAAAGATCCATCCAGTGTTTCTGAAGAAATGTCAATAACAATTTTCATTGTCAAAATCTAGGATGGCCACCTGTCAGTCAGTTTTTCTGACCATTCCCAAAATCAAAGGGCATAATTACCGTAAAAACCTGCATAATGTGTGCACCAACGTAATGTGTGCACCAACGTAATGTGTGCAGGTACTTTTTGGGGCTGAAAATGGTAAAAAAAGCTTTTACTTGCATAATGAGTGCACCCAAATATTCAGTCATAATCAATCTATTGGAGTAAAAGAAATGGATCTCGGAATGTTCAGATAACACGTCAGACCAACGATATAAGTCCAAAACCTGAATGTTTTCACTTCAAAATTTGTTTTCATCTCATTTACTGACTTTCAATAACCTTCTGTTTAATCAAAGCCTAATGTTTGTGCATCTTCTTGTTTTCTTTGACATCAGACATGTCTTGCTGTCATTCACTTACCAATTATCCCTAATTTATCTTATGTACACAAGTACTTGTCTTCACACTAGCTCTAATTAACAGTGTTCAGTGTTGAAATCACAGGTACAAGTCATCTGCCTATTCGTGACCAAACCAAAACCAAAATACGATCTCCTCAAGTCATTTTTTCTTTCATGTCTTGCTGTCACATTGAGCACCGCAAACTGACATAAATTGAGGCCCCAACTCTGTATATGTAAGCAATCGGTATATGGAGCATGGAATGGAATCACAAGAAATGTACTATAGACATGCATATGTGTATCGTCAAAAGAAGAACAGCGTTTCATTACACAGTTTCTTAATAGTTGAACAGGAAAGTGTTTTAAAAGATAATCCAGTTATAATTGACACATTTTTTAATGTCCCAAACAGGCCACTGTCTTTGCTGATCATCAGTTTTCTGTCTGTCTAGTTGCTATCGCTTTTTTTAAACACTTCTTCCAGATTTTGCATGATATTGACTCCGATCGTTTGCAAATATATATACAGTATTTATCTTATTTATTATTTTTGTTCATAAAATAAATCGCCGAATCCTATTTGTGTCAGTTTTGAATACCGGATAATCCTGACAAACAATGATGGCAGACTCACAGTATCTTTAATTTTTCCATTAAAAAAAACTTCAAAATCCTATAGCTACATCACATGCTCACCCCCAACCTTGGACACTGATTTTCTCAAACATTACTGCGCACATTATGTGGGTTTTTACGGTAGGTATTAAGTGGAACCTACTTATGAAATTTAAGGTGATCCACCCAGGACTTCTAATGAAAGGATAACACAAATTGTTTATGGATGACAAATGGACCAAGGATGTAGGGCATTTAGAAAAGCTCACGATCTCATAATGGTGAACTTTTAACAAGTCTTCAAAGTAGAGAGATTCTACAATCAGATCCATGCATATAGGACATCAAATTTCACCATCTCACACATGAGAAGAGAAAACATTTCAGCCAGTCACCAATATCTGTTCAGACAGTAATGTAGGTTACATCAGATTAATGTCAAAGATGCCGTGAGAGAAGACTTCTTGCTACAGACCACTAGTATTCTGATCCATCGAGACAAGCACCACTTCTCTAAACTTACCTGGTCCTCTGTCTCCCTTCTGGCACTGCATAGCCAAGTCTTAGCTCCAGTTAACTGGCAATGGAGATAACGAACACTCCACGTAGCCAAGGGTCGGTGGAACAGGCCATCCTCCACTGGGGTAAGAGTCAGGTCATTACAAAGGGACAGCACAAAGGAATCAGCTAGAAGCTCTGAGCCAAGCTGCTTGTTGAACGACATCCAGTAACAGATGTTGAATCTATGCAGGTTTACTGATGTCTTGATTGTCCTGCAATGAAAATGCCATACAAGGACTGCACATAGATGCATATACAAAAACATTTTATTGGCTTTATTGAATATTTACAATATTTTATGAATTTATATAAACATGTGGACCATTTCATACCTCAAAATAATCAATTTCCTTTCAAGTTCAGCTATGGAATATTTCTTCATTAATTAAAAAAAAAATTTTAAACTCAAAATAACAATTAAGTAGTCTTACTTGTAGTGTCGGGTAAGCTGTGGTTTGCGAGGCCTTATAACATTGAAGTAAGACCCTCGACGTATGGGGCGAGTGACACTCGCAAAACACATCTTGATTTTGTCCAGAAATCTGAGTGTGCTTGCGTAGAAGAGGCAACTTGGAACATTCAGTGTGTTCTCCCTCAGTGGTTTGGTGTCCAGAGATATGGACACATTCAGATTCTTGGATCGGAAAGCTCGGAATGAATCATGCTCCTGTAATGTAGTAATTGATATCTAAATACACGGTTTCCAAAATATAATGATATGAATTAGTGTTTGGTCGCTCAAATTTTTGGTTGTGCAAACTTTTAAATAGTGTAATTAAAAGAAAGTTCATAACTTTAACAGGTATTTGAATGATATGTTTTTTTTTATCTGAAATGAAAATCTAACCATTTACTCCCTTCAATCTTTACAAGAAGTCAGCTACTTTGTACTAGACAGCTGGTATATCACATTTCATCTTCAGCTTGACTGAGGCATACATCTTACTTCATACGACAAGGCTAGACATACTAAAACATATCACTTACTTCATGTGAGAAATCCGGTACTTTGTCAGGGGCACAGGGCATTACAGCATGGTGGTCATTAGGGTCTCCATGGCACAACCATTCCAGTTTGTAACTATGAAACAGTCAATGACAACATGTTAATATATATGTTTATAGTAAATCATACACATTGTCCTGTTCTGAGTAAGGTAAATCATACAAATTGACCTGTTCTGAGTAAGATAAATCATACAAATTGTCCTGTTCTGAGTAAGGTAAATCATACAAATTGTCCTGTTCTGAGTAAGGTAAATCATACAAATTGTCCTGTTCTGAGTAAGGTAAATCATACACATTGTCCTGTTCTGAGTAAGGTAAATCATACAAATTGTCTTGTTCTGAGTAAGGTAAATCATACAAATTGTCCTGTTCTGAGTAAGATAAATCATACAAATTGTCCTGTTCTGAGTAAGGTAAATCATACAAATTGTCCTGTTCATAGTAAGGTAAATCATAAAAATTGTCTTGTTCTGAGTAAGGTAAATCATACACATTGTCCTGTTCTGAGTAAGATAAATCATACAAATTGTCTTGTTCTGAGTAAGGTAAATCATACACATTGTCCTGTTCTGAGTAAGATAAATCATACAAATTGTCCTGTTCATAGTAAGGTAAATCATAAAAATTGTCTTGTTCTGAGTAAGGTAAATCATACACATTGTCCTGTTCTGAGTAAGATAAATCATACACATTGTCCTGTTCAGAGTAAGGTAAATCATACAAATTGTCCTGTTCTGAGTAAGGTAAATCATACAAATTGACCTGTTCTGAGTAAGGTAAATCATACACATTGTCCTGTTCTGAGTAAGATAAATCATACACATTGTCCTGTTCTGAGTAAGATAAATCATACAAATTGTCCTGTTCTGAGTAAGGTAAATCATACAAATTGACCTGTTCTGAGTAAGATAAATCATACAAATTGTCCTGTTCTGAGTAAGGTAAATCATACAAATTGTCCTGTTCTGAGTAAGGTAAATCATACAAATTGACCTGTTCTGAGTAAGATAAATCATACACATTGTCCTGTTCTGAGTAAGATAAATCATACACATTGTCCTGTTCTGAGTAAGATAAATCATACACATTGTCCTGTTCTGAGTAAGATAAATCATACACATTGTCCTGTTCTGAGTAAGATAAATCATACACATTGTCCTGTTCTGAGTAAGATAAATCATACACATTGTCCTGTTCTGAGTAAGGTAAATCATACAAATTGTCCTGCTATGAGTAAGATAAATCATACAAATTGTCCTGTTCTGAGTAAGGTTAGATATTGGTAATCTATTCCAGTACTACACCAAAACTTACTTAAAAATACAGGTACAATATACCAGGACTGTTATTGTTACTAGTGATACTGTTACTGAAATCTATCTGAAAGTTCAGCCCAATATCAATGTAACAAAGATTGCATTGATAACAAGTTTACATCAAAGGGTAAGTGAATAAATTAATTCTATTTTTAACACTGAAAGGAGAAATGTACAGATTTACAAGAAGCATGATAAATAACTAATCCTTTATCATTCAGATTGGAAGATAGAGAATGTATCATTCTGAACACTCTGTCACTTCATTAAAACCAGTATATCATTTTGTTTTTAACTATATCCAACCCTCAATCTCAGTTCTATACAGTAAAACCTGTCCTTATCAGACAAAGCTTAAATCAAGTTCTGTGTACATTATCAACCCTCAATCTCAGTTCTATACAGTAAAACCTGTCCTTATCAGACAAAGCTTAAATCAAGTTCTGTGTACATTATCAACCCTCAATTTCAGTTCTATACAGTAAAACCTGTCCTTATCAGACAAAGCTTAAATCAAGTTCTGTGTACATTATCCAACCCTCAATTTCAGTTCTATACAGTAAAACCTGTCCTTATCAGACAAAGCTTAAATCAAGTTCTGTGTACATTATCAACCCTCAATTTCAGTTCTATACAGTAAAACCTGTCCTTATCAGACAAAGCTTAAATCAAGTTCTGTGTACATTATCCAACCCTTAATCTCAGTTCTATACAGTAAAACCTGTCCTTATCAGGCAAAGCTTAAATCAAGTTCTGCATAATTTGACAAAAAAGGCAGCTCTTTCTGAGTGTTCTGAGTGACTTACCAAAGTTTGAGGTTTGGCAAGTGCAACAGTTTACAGTCATCATACTTGGATGTAGTCCTTGCAGAAATGTCAAAGTCTCCCAGCAAGACAAAATTGGCTGTAATTCAATTAAAAAAAAAGAGACAATTACTATGTATTTAATCCAATACTTTGTCGTTGATAACTAGCATTAAACAACATTTATCATTGAAAAGCTACAACTCCCAACACAACTTTTATTTACCACTGATCCAAACAAGACAGACTTTAACCAGGACTTTACTTGCTATTGGTCCAATCAAGACAGACTTTAACCAGGACTTTACTTACTATTGGTCCAATCAAGACAGACTTTAACCAGGACTTTACTTACTATCTGTCCAATCAAGACAGACATTAACCAGGACCTTTACTTACTATTGGTCCAATCAAGACAGACATTAACCAGGACTTTACTTACCATTGGTCAAATCAAGACAGACTTTAACCAGGACTTTACTTACTATCTTTCCAATCAAGACAGACTTTAACCAGGACTTTACTTACTATTGGTCCAATCAAGACAGACATTAACCAGGACTTTACTTACCATTGGTCAAATCAAGACAGACATTAACCAGGACTTTACTTACCATTGGTCAAATCAAGACAGACATTAACCAGGACTTTACTTACCATTGGTCAAATCAAGACAGACATTAACCAGGACTTTACTTACCATTGGTCCAATCAAGACAGACATTAACCAGGACTTTACTTACCATTGGTCAAATCAAGACAGACATTAACCAGGACTTTACTTACCATTGGTCAAATCAAGACAGACATTAACCAGGACTTTACTTACCATTGGTCCAATCAAGACAGACATTAACCAGGACTTTACTTACCATTGGTCCAATCAAGACAGACATTAACCAGGACTTTACTTACCACTGGTCAAATCAAGACAGACTTTAACCAGGACCCTTACTTACCATTGGTCCAATCGAGACAGACTTTAGACCAGGACCAATCCATGAATTCAGTGGTGTTGTAGGGGTCAAATGAGGCATGGTACAGCCAACTCATTTGTTCCACAGACATGAAAAATCGACCATGTAGAAGAAGGCGTATCTTGTCCCAGATTGGAAGCGGACGACTGGGGTCTACTGAGGGTTTATTGATAAGGTCAAGACTGATATTGTATTGAGCTATAGCAGGTTCCCAGCATGCTCCATAGGCCATCACCCAACTCTTCACATCTGGACAGAAACATGTACACAGTCATCATACTCTGTGTATCAGTACAATAAGTTAATCAATGTTTTAATGCTAATTTACTATATTCTATTCTAGTATTCTAGATCATGAGAGTGACAATAACACAAGGCCAAACAAATTATTATCCTTGTTTATCAATAATTAATAAAATATATAAAGGGTATTGAAGTACTGACCACAGCTAAAGTCGTGGTAGAATTTGAGGGTGGGCAAGTTCCTCTCCACCTCCATATTACCCCATGGGTCCTCCACCTCTACAACACACTTCCTCTTGGCTGAAATAACATTCATTTCAAGTTATACTCACATATCAACAAACATATTATAAAATCATCAAGGCAGTCCCTTTATAATACAAATATGCAAATTAAAAACCATACATTGTGTTATTTACATAAGGGCAAAACTTCATAAGGAAAAAAATTAGTATTTTTTTTATGAATTTAAGGTAGTTTTAGAAAATTGAAAATAAAAACATTCAGGTTGAGTTTTTCAACAATCCTATTACACAGGAGGATTTCATCTAAATGAGTGACAATCTAATTATAAAAAAAAATACATGTTAATCATGACTGAAAGAAAACAACACAAAATGCTGACATTAGAAACTCGTACAGACAAAAGAAAATTGAACAATTGTAATATTTGTGATTTTGATAGGATTGCTAATTTTGCATAATATAGAGTAAAATGCAAAATTTAACGTTAATTATCAACAACAATCAGTGTATTTTTGACTGAACCAAGTCAAAACTCGTGGTACAAAATTACTTTTTCCCCACTATATTTTTCACTAGTAAGTACTTGCTTCTGCATCGTTAACATTACTTCTAAAATCTTATTTACAGTTACTTATCAAGATACCAGGAATATTCTCTCACTAGTATTCAATTTTTTTAAATTTGTTTGCAACATGTGTACACACCTTGTACCAACATGGCGCCTAAAACAATGAAGAAATTCACATCTCTGCTACCTACCTCTCCTACTGCCATCCTGCTCCGCCCCAATTAACCGACCCCAAAGTCCCATGTCCTTCACTTCCAGCATAGGATGAGGATAGTCACGCATTACTACTTTCCACAGACTCAGGTTAAAGTTCACATAACGACACCAAAGGGTAACAAATTCTAAGCCCTCCTCAGGATAGGGACTGTTAACAATGTGAAGAACAAGGGTAACATATACGTGTAATGAAATCTCTGTTTTATCCAATTTTGGTGTCATTGTTTGTGGGTTTATAATATTTACATATTGCAAAATATATCAAACTTAAGTGAAATTATTGATAATCCTTACACCTCTTTGTGAAATTACTTAATCTGCTTCAAAAATTGTACACGACATGGATATATATTTACATGTTCCTCTACATAATACCTAGTACATCATACTCTACCTCTGATTGTCAATGTCCCTCATTTGTCTGATAACATTCTCCTTCCCATGGAACGATTTATCAGCATAAGCAAGGATTTCAACATCTTCCATTAGCCAGGTGAAAAGCTTGGTTCTCATTGGCGTTGTTTTATACAACAGGCGAGATCGCTGCAAGTAAATGTCACTGCTTTTCTTGTCCAAGGAATCAAATAATTCCTGTACACGGTCAGCTGAAAATCAAGATAAAAGATCAACATCAATTAGAGACGTATATTGATAACTCTCTGTAAGAACAAATCAAGAATTACTAAAAATGAACTTTATTTTTTGTACTCAAAGTTTAATGTGTAATCACTTTTTCGTAATTAAGTGCATTGAGGAATTCACACATCTACAATAATTGTAATATAAATAACATACAAAAACAGATATTAGTGTAAATAATGTAAACATTATTTCAGAACATTTTCTTCAGGTTGGTAATGTCAATAGAAAAGAAGTTCTTATAACACAACCAGTAAAAGATTGAAGTGTGACATTTCCATGACTACACGGTCACCTTCATCAGACAAATGTCCAGTGTTAAGCATACTAGCACTGACATACATATAGTGTACGAGATGGTAAGGGATCGACCAACATTTTCAGCTGTACTATGTTTAATATTGATCATTTGTCTGATGAAGGGGACCGTGTAGTCACCGAAATGTCACACCAAGTCTTCTACTGGTTGTTTTATACTGTAAAGGTTGTTTTTTTATATCCTAAATTTTCGTGGTTTTTTACAAAAATTTTTAGTGGACAGGATATATCTGATATATAATGGAGAATTGTTCTTTTTATTTACATCTTCAAAGTATCTCTAATTTGTGATTATATAACATCCTCAACAGCAGCGAAAATAAGCGCTCATGAAAATAACAGTAATTTTTTAATTGTTAAAAAGATCACTTAAAAATTCTGGAGAGTTAGGCAAGAAAATTCAGTCATTAATTTAAGAGGCAAAATGACACACGATTTTACTGTCACATCACATCCTTAAACGACTCTTTCATTTCAAGTTTACAATAATGTCTAACAGAATTTTATAGGAAAGTAAGTAAACATACCTGGAATGAAGCCATGAGTGCGTCGTAGATTTTGTACCTTCTGCTCCATAACAGCCTTCCTCTTAAAGTATTCATAACATTCGTCTTTCATTAGCTCATAGTTATCCCCCAGCTTAACCTCGAATGGATCATCACTAAGCTGTACCTGGAACCTCTGTGGACAGAAATCAAGCTATTTAGAAAGCAAATCTAACAATCAGACCACTGGGACCTCTGTGGACAGAGGTCAAGGTATTTAGAGAGCAAAACTCACAAAAAGACAACTGGGACTTCCGTGGACAGAAATCAAGCTATTTAGAGAGGAAATCTCACAATCAGACAACTAGGACCTCTGTGGGCAGAAATCAAGCTATTTAGAGAGCAAATCTCACAATCAGACAACTGGAACCTCTGTGGACAGAAATCAAGCTATTTAGAGAGCAAATCTCACAATCAGACAACTGGAACCCCTTAAATGAAGCACTAAATACAATTTGTAAATACACCCACAATATGTATTTTGCATATCAAAAATACCTGCCACATTATTTGGTATGAAGCTATGAAAGACTCAAAAAGAAGTCCCAACTTTCATACAAAACTAGAATATTAGAATGAAGAAAACAATTTGTGGCAATGCTTGACAATGTGATCAAAATTAACTAATTACTGGAGACTTTTCATCACTATGGTTACAGGTATTGTTGCTGACCTTGACTTTGATCTGTAGATCAGGAGGAAGTAAACTGTCCTCTGTAAACGGCTTCTTCTTCACTTTGTGGACCAACTTCCACCACTTCCATAGGTTCACAAACTGTTCAAAGATCAAGATTTAAAGTCTACACACACAACATACAGTAAACAATAAACATTGATATTCACGTTAAAGTCCTTTTAATGAATACAATTTTTAAAAATGATTAATTTCCAAAGTTATCAGTGAGTTGAACAAAACATGAATACAATAAGCAACAGACTGACATAATATTAATTCCCTATCACTGGACGTGTATACTGATGTGACTTACCTCCTCAAAACATTTAGCAAAGTTGTATTTGAACGGGAAGACAACATCAAAGTTGTTAAACAAAACATGCCTGAAAATGAAAATATTCATGAATTTTTCATACCTGGTGAAAACTCAGGCTTAAACAAATCCAATAAACAAAATCATTTTAAACTGTTCACGAAGTTTTCCTAATCATATTAAATCAACATTTGTTTTGAAAATAATTACCATCATAACCATCGATTAAAAGTAAAAAATGAAACGCGACACAGAAAAATAACACAACACTGTGGCTTTATAAAACATAAACACTACTTCATCTTTCTTTACAAATACATATTATTATTAACTGAAATGGTGTTCATTCCACAGTAGAGCCTGCCTGTAATTATTAAGATTATCTACAAATGACGTCATTTTAATCAAGCATTAAAAATGACTCAGATTGTCATTTATGAGGGTATGGGGAGGTAAACCTAAAATTAACATTCATGAATATTAAGATCATGCCCTGTGTAATCTGCTTGCTCTCTATATCACTTACAGCTTTATTACGGCTACCAGAACTCTGCCTGCCTTACATATCATTATACTTACCATGCCCTATTTGTGGGACATTTTAGGTTACCCACACTCTGTCTGCCCTCCCTTAGCTGGTACTTGGATAGTGTTCCCATCATTGTACCCTGCATTTAAAAAAACACAAATCTGAAGTATTTTACAATTTCATTCATGCAATTTAAAGGTGTATGGGTGTTTATAATGATAATTTATTTGGGGACTGAGATCAATTTCTTACTTCCAATATATCCAAGCATCCTTTAATTCTGAGGTTGTTTTTGAAGTGCTGTCATTTTTCCACTAGATGACTTAAAGATTAAAATCTTTTTAGCAAAAATTGTGCTGAGACCCATATGTACAGAAGATCAGAAAGACATGTTCAGTGCTTTCTGGGGTATGACAGTAAACTAACAAACCTCAAATATTTAAAGATACCAATCTGTTAATCATCTTGTTTTCCATCAGTTCCCTTACCTTATATGTACAGTAACAATAAATGATTGTTAAACCTACCTCTAGCACTACCACTTGATGTTCATCACAGTTCACTGTGAACCTTTCCATTTCCATCAGTGTCTCCTCCTCAGATCGTGTCATGATGAAGCCCTCTGGTACAAAGGTCACACTGAAAACCAGAAGATTAAACAGTGAATTACCATACAGGGGACATAAAACACAAAGGTCACCCAAAGGTCACCCTGTATACCAGGTTAAACAGTGAGTTACAATACTGGGATAGAAACACAAAGGTTACCCAAAGGTCACCCTCTATACCAGGTTAAACAGTGAGTTACAATACTGGGACAGAAACACAAAGGTCACCCAAAGGTCACCCAAAGGTCGCCCTGTATACCAGGTTAAACAGTGAGTTACAATACAGGGAGAGAAACACAAAGGTTACCCAAAGGTCACCCTGTTTACCAGGTTAAATAGTGAGTTACAATACTGGGATGGAAACACAAAGATATTTAAGTCTAAACAGAACTTCAATAAAAGAAAGTAGAGTGGAGTTTACATAAAGAGCAGAAATTCTGAAACTCACAGAAAGTTGAGGTTCAATACATACATATGTTCATATCATAGGTAACATATCAAGAAATTTTCTATGAAATATCCCAATAAGTTGAAGAATAGTGTTTCAGAGGCAAAACAAACCAAGGGCAATAACTCTTGTAATATCATTAGAAATAAGAAGCTAGTGTAAGTGAAAATCCAAGAAATTTGGATCTTTCCAATTGTCAAAGATTAGATTTTGTCTCCAGACAGCCAACCATATAATTCCAGAAAATCTTGAGAAAAGCACAAGTAGTGCAGATAAAAACATCCCCGGTCAGTTAGATTAACAACTCAATTCCATTGTAATATCTGTCTTCCTTAGGTAAGGAAAGAGAACATTACTTGTGCCATGACAAATGGTAAATGTTACTGGTCTTCAGGCAGTGGCTGCATAGTTACCTGTGTTCCTTAGACAGACAGAGAGTAAATGATGTAGCTGCCTTCACTATGACGTTGATTTTGAGTCTGTGCTGAGGAGTATAACTGTCCCTCTGACTATCCACCACATCAGGACGGTAGGCTGAAGTAGAACATCAAATGCTGTCAAACTAAATAATCTAAAATACATTATTAAAGCCTTGCTAAAATTATCCATGTGAATGACAATGTTTTACATATATACTTACAGAAAATATACTCACTCACTTTTAGGCAAATTAGCACAACAATGGATGTGAGAATCAACAATAATTAATATGAAGGCAACACACAGAAACTACAATTACTGAAACCCAGAAAAAAATCACAGAAAAGTAAGCAGCCCTTAAATAGCACTGTTTTACACATGTAATGGGTTAATCATTGTTACCTTGGTAGCGTGATTTGATCTCTTTGACTTCCTCCAATCCCTGTATTAGACACATATGATGACATGTCTTCCACTCACACGACAAAATCTTCAGAATGCGTACATGCATTTCCTGTAAAAAAAAAATCGGATACATTCATAAATCAATCAATGTTCATTCTGAATATTGTCACTAAATTAGTTTATATTTATTCTGTTCACAGACAAGGAAAGCATTACTACCTCTGACTCTTTAGATGTGTGACCTTGACCTTTCCTTAAAGAAGATGTATTGGCCTCTGACTTGAATTACATTTAACCTTGACCTCTAAGATCACTCACCATATCTGACCCCAGTCATATGTGGACTGTCACTTACTTTCAGACATTATTTCATACACTACCTGACCTCACGAACTGCTCTTTCACCATAGTTACATATGGCCTTGTTCTCACATTTACTCTTTAAATCCCCTGCCAGGTGAGAATTCTTTAAAGGATGTTTTTTCAAGGGTTCTATTTTTATGCTTTTTTTGTAAGATGAGACTTAAATAATTAAACAAAGAAACCTTGAAAATAAATTAACGAAGGAAACCATGGACCACTACTTCACCTCTATGGGAAAAAATCCTTTCTGTTTCAAGGTTTTTAGCAAAGAAATGAAAGTTTGACTCCATCAAATGACAATCTTTACAGTGAATAATGTGAAGTGTATAATACTTACACTCTGATTTTGACTGTGTGTGACCCTGACTTCCTGAATATGGATGGCAGGATTGTGCAGCTGGCTAGCTGGAACTAGCATTACAGACTAGAAAACAATAAAGAAAAGAGACCCATGGGGCCTGCATTACTCCCCTGGCATTTAATGTTCAACAAAAATAGGATTGGTATTTATCACAAAAACTGTTGGCTTTTAAGGTTGGCATATCCAATCAATTTTCATTGATTTCCACCATAAATAGCTTTTAATGCTCAACACTAAACAATGACAGTTATGATCTGAATTATAGGCAAATATGATTTCTTTTTTTTTCTCAAAATCTGACAGGCTTTCTAAGACCTCTGGTTTACCAGAAGAAATCTTTCACAGGTTTCGACAGTTTGATCCCTGTGACCTGGAGTAAGGATCAAGGTCATTTCTATTTTTCAAACTTTGCCGAGCCAAATGTCATGCTTCTAGGACTTTTGATTAGCCATTAGAAATTGTTAAAGGTTATAATAGTCAAGGTCATTTCTTTTTGCAAACTTTGCCAGACTTCATCCTATAAACCTATCAGCCAAATAACATTACATTTGCCCAGTTGGTTATTGAAAAGTTGTTTAAATGGAAAAAATGACCAAACAGACAGACAGTGGAGAGACGATGTACACTACATCATGGTATAATCTCACGTGGCTCGAAGTGTCAGGTGATCTTTAAAAAACTATTAATAATATGTTAGGATAGTTAAACCATTCCTTGTAGACAGATTGGGTTCTCTGTAATAAACTCATGTTTAAGTGATAAATGCAATTTCATGAATAAACAAGCAGTTACAGATACCAATAGATACCTATAGGAGCTGTAAATACCTACCTTATCTACTTGAGAGACATATGTAACTTTGCAGCCCTCTACCGTAACACAGCTGGTTTGTTTGTTGAGATCAATATCCACAGCGTCAATTCTTGACATCAGACACACTGCAATAAAAAAGCATTGCATAGATAATGCTACAAAGTCACACAAAGGTAAATATAATAAAACATTGAATTCTTTATTATATGCTCAGTATCATCCAACAGATATACAAACTGCTAACCCTTAAATATAAATAACAATACTTATTTTTTGTTTGCTATTTTCTCTTCTTTCCTTATCACCTTCCATATTGTCAATTATATCAATTCTAATTTATTTAAGACAGACATAGCACAACATTCCATTCATCAATGAAAATAACTGGCAAAAGTGAAACCCTAAAATGAACTATCTGTAAATTTCTCATTTGTTCTGTTAGTGTTGTCAATGACCCTGATGCTGACATGTTATAAAAATGACTTCAAAAACAATAATGTGATCCTGAAATGTCAGTGGAAGTTTGCTTGATTTTGAACGGTACAGCACTCAAGCTCAGAACTTACATTTATTCCTGTCCCAAGTTATTCTTTATTAGTTTTTTGATAATATGCAAGCTTGAAAACCATGAGGAACTTCCACATGTCATTTGATAATGCTTTTGTAATATCTGAGAACCTTGAAATTGTCACCGTTGGAAGTCTGTCTGCCAATTTGTTTTCCCTCAGGTCCAAATAAGTATTACTAGGGACAATGAGGGAAACTAAACTTCTTTCAGAATAATTTCACTGAGTGATATCATCCTTAACTTTAAATATCACAAGTGGAATATTGTCAGCAATAAATGAGGCTACACAAATTGGCTAACAATTTGTTATAGAAGGCTGACATACTGAGGGAAAAATATTTTATGACCATCCACTATAGCTGTGAGAATCACAATGAAATTTTGAGCAAAATGACCTGTGTGTCGTAAAAAATTGAAATACAATTCAAATGAATCTAAATAATATGAAGAAAAATTAATATGACCTACCTTTGTGGTTATTACATAAAAATATGTTCACATCTGACACACACATTTTCATGGATACACTGCTTTCAGGCTTCTGTAGATTGGATGGTGGTATATTTAGAGTTCTTTCCCTTTCAGTAGTTATGGTAACAGAACTAGCACCAGACTGTTGTTTCCATAACAAAGCACCAAGGAAGTGTAAGGCAGTGTTGACTGTCAGTGTAGACCATTCCATATGAGTATTGCACAAATCTACATCTAACATCAGGTCTCCGCATCTTTTGTCGGCCTGTAGAGGTTATCATTATAAAATGAGACAAAAGAAATTTCAATATTTACAAAAAAATCTACCGTGCCAAATGAAAATTTAAGAAATAAATTTTCATTTGCAGCTAATTAATTAATCAAAATAAAAAACTTCAAGAAAATCATGATCCAATTAAAGTCTTACTATGTGATTTTCACATTTTGCTAGGTGATTGCTTACCAGATATGTATGGAATGGCAACAGGACAGCATGGTATAAGTTCAATGGAACTTGATCCAGCAATTAAAATGTTAATTAACATCTTTCAACAAATTTTAAGTTTACCTTTGCATAGATATTTACTTTTACAGACTTCCGATGATGTGATGACAGGTGGTTTAATCTTAACACTGACCTTGATATAGAAAGTTCCTATGTATAAAGCATGGTCCCAGTAGTGAATGTTGTTACACAGATGGTCCAGAGCTACTCGAGCATCCATATGCTGACAGCTGACAGTCTGAACCTCAACTTTACAAGATACATTATCCAGCCAAGGCAGGTCAGAACACTCCTCTGTAACAAACAGTTTCATTGCTAAACATGTCACATTGTTACTTAAGTGTTCTATATAGGGCCGATTCACACCATTTTGGAATATTCAGATTGAAGGTACCACCACAAACTTACTAACAAACACTTTAGGAACAGCCATTGATATACTACAGAAGGTTTGATTGTAGACACCAAGTGGACTCACTGGACCCAAGACTTAACTGTTACAGATAATACACACCATGTTGACTGACTCTACCCCAGACTTACCTGTTATAGATGGTAGACACCATGTTGACAGACTACACCCCACACTTACCTGTTATAGATGGTAGACACCATGTTGACTGACTACACCCCACACTTACCTGTTATAGATGATAGACACCATGTTGACTGACTACACCCCACACTTACCTGTTATAGATGGTAGACACCATGTTGACTGACTACACCCCACACTTACCTGTTATAGATGATAGACACCATGTTGACTGACTACACCCCACACTTACTTGTAATAGGTGGTAGACACCATGTTGACTGACTCAACCCCAGACTTACCTGTTATAGATGGTTTAATGGTAGACACCAATTTGGCTGAATGGACCCCAAAATGCAATCCTGAGGAGGTTGCAGAAGATAGAGATGAAGACAATTCAGTCAGAGCTATAGACAAACACACACTACGTCTCCGACAGTAGTCAACTGCAAGTGATCTACAATCCAAATAAATAAACTTGAAATAGTTTCACTTAAACTTTAAAGTGTGTCAGGTAAACCCTAATGTCATACTTTCATGCAAAAGAGTAATATGTAGATATAATGTAGGTATTTTAAAAAAGTTTTTAATTTTTAACTCCTGTATGGTAACACTTACTTGAGAGGTGAGGAGGTAGACGTCCTTCGTGACTGTATTTGAGTGTTGGTACCAGGGCGTGTGTCAGACACTCGTGTCAATACAGAAGACCAGTACTGGATTTCCTCGTGATGGTAATGGAAGAATGCCCCTTGGACAGCTACGTCGGATACAACTTTGTTTTTATTTAGCTAGAAATAGATCACAGTATCAGTATTTCTCTTGTATGTATCAGTTGTAAACATTGTAAGATTAAGCAACAGAGATGAAAGGATACATTTGGATAGTTTGATGATGGTGATAATAAAACCCCATCAATCAAGAGTGATGCTTATTTAAGTTTATCAACAAAGGGGTGGAAGATCCGCAGAACAGGCTGGCAATTTTAAACCATGAAGTTGACAATGGCAGGGAACCCTGATGTACACCTATATATACAAGAGGCCCCACGGGCTCACTTGGTATCAATGTTCATCATAGATACATAACGCATGCACCATTGGCATTCAAAGTAGACACATCCAATGAACTTTAACCAATTTTCACAACAAATGTTAGCTTCTAAACAGCAGCAGTTATGACCTGGATTAAAGGTTATATGTAATCACATTGTTTTCTCAAAGTTTGTTAGGCTTTGACTGAGAAACACCTTTCTATCAGATATTCTGCTTCTCAGAGATTTGGTTTAAAAACAGAAGTCTTTGACCCCGTGACTTTAAATATTGTTCAAGATCATTTCATTTTGCAAACTCTGCTGGGCTTCTTCCTCGAGTCCTACCTGCCAAATATTATGCTTCTAGGCCTTTTGGTTAATCAGAAGAAGTTATTAAACTTTTAACAAATTCCACTCCTGTATACAATGCTTCTGGGTTTTTTGGTTGGTCAGAAAAAGTTCTTATTAGTTTTAACAAATTCAACCTTTGTGGCCTTGAATAAAGGTCAAGGTAATTTCTTGTCACAAACTTTGTCAGGTTTCATTCTAGAAATCAATCAGCCAAAAAACATGTTTCCGTGTCTTTTGGCTAGTGAAAAGAAGTCTTTAAAATTTTCAACAAATTCTACTCGGGCCAGGTGAGCTAAAAAAATCTTTTGACCAACCTTTGGTCAACCATTTTGTCCAATCAGAAAATGGATGTCACCATGTACAATTCACCTACATACCAAATTTCACTAATATGGGACAATTACAACCAATCAGAAGCCTCCATTAGAATTGACACCACAACCCCCACTCCACCTACCCTAGTTCCTAACTTCCTAGTGGGCAAATAACTAACAGAAACAAGGGACTTGACAGTATCTGATTTCTGCATTTGAAACAATGATGTCATACAAATAATAATGAATTCAATACATTATATAAACAAAACGACAACATGAAGTAGAATGTAATTGCATATCAAATTTGGAATTAAACTGACCAGCAAATCAGACAACACACTTACCTCCACCTTAACATTAGCCTTCAACAAAGCAGCAAACTTGGCTTGAGGGGACTCTGTATGGAAATCTGTAAAAACAATATATATATACCGTATAAAATCTGAATCATTCGTTCAAGACAAATAAAGAACAACTATGTGAATGAAAATGTTACCAAATTCACAGTATTATTTGTTTAATATAACGATTAAATGATAAACAGAACTTGATCTTTATCCCATCTAATGTTATCTTATTTCTCTTCGTGTTATTTTCTGGGTTACATTATTTCTGACTGGTCGTTACCAAACATACCTTCTACCAATAGCCCACATATACTTTGTTCCTCTTCTGAAGTATTAGTGTTGTTCTGAAATTCCATGTGGAAGTTTCTCAGTCCGACTGACAATGTTCTGAAAGAAAAAAGTTGATGTGAGTAATCTAACTAAGAATATTTTCAATCTAGAACAAAGTTGACTTACATAGTTTCTTAACTCTTTTGACATAATTTGCATAATTGTTAAATTACTCACTGCAAAAGAACTTTGTATTTTAAGTTACATTAATCCAAGGCACAATATCAAAGGAGACTCAAAGTTAATAAGAGCAACAATGTTCTAAATAATAAGAAATGATTATTCATAATCCAAAAATTATTTGCGGACTGTCTGACCTCTGAGTGTTTTGTCTCACGATCTTCACGTCCAAATCTGTGACATCTAGACCAATCTCCTGTAAACAGTAACAATTACATCCTACATTTGACTGCCATATCATTGCTGAGATAAAAAATATGACATTTATGTAACTCATATAGCAAATACTCAAAGATAGACAATGAAGTCTAATAAAGACAACTAGATATGTGGCAAGGATGGCAGACTGATCACCCCTGATCCCTATTTAACAATAGTTTGGAAGGATTGTCTGAACAAGATTCCCTAAAGAGGCCTTCATTTACTCACCATGGCAAACAAAAGGCAATCATTTTTTGTTCGAAAATGGTACCATTGTATTTGTCAACCCTCTGAACTTTTTTTTCAACTTAATCAGAAAATATCTTAATTTCAACCAATCAGAAGCCTTCAATGTGTTTCCATGATAATGGTTTTGAAACACTTAATATTTCAAATAATAGGCTATAATTAGCATTAGCATCTGATCAATATATCATTATATCAATTTTCAGCACAATTGAACAATATCTCAATATCGGCCAATCAAAAGCTTCCACCATATTTCCAATGTAATGGTTCTAGTAACACCTTATGTGTCAATTTACAAGCATTGATAAATTACATCACTTGACCTATTCAAGTTTCAATGAATTTGATCAAAGCATTGATGAGTTACGGCCATTACAATAAAACCTATGTAGAATGACCTGGTTACCATGGCAACCAAAACGTCTGCTAAAAGAACCTTGTGTGCACAACTACACATGGTCCATAGCATTCCTGTTCAGGTTCATAAAATCAGTCCACAACATTAGGAGGAAAGTCTGGAAAATATCTGTGTTATCATTGGTCTCATGTGGTTACCAGAGCAACCAAATGATATGGGATGTTTTCGAAAATGGTACCATTGTAACTGTCTTCCTTTAAACCTTAAATATCTATTTTCAGCACAATCAGACTATCTTGATTTTGATCAACCATGTTTCCATAGTAGGATAAAAATATTACATAATTAATTTGTTTCTATTCCATGAGATTTACAAACTTTAAACCTTATAAAAAAGTAGAAACTTATTTCAGATTCTAGAAAATGTTATATTTATAAAGATATAGTGTAGTACTTAATATCAAGTATGTGTAATTTAGAATTAATTTAAAAGATTCACATGTATGATACATTTATTATCCACCAGTTAATCTACTTATGGTACATATAGATATGCAAATCCATGCTTACTTACCTGTGGGATTAAATTTAAGTTGAAAGAAGACCTAGTGTTTGTGATGTTATCTGAAAGCAAATTCAAAGATTCTACAGTGATGATAAATTACTACACTGATGATCTAAAAATGTTTTTGCTTTGTACATTCTTACTGATTCTGTAGTAATAATTACTCTTAACTCCTAAGTGTTTACAAATGACTTAAAATTCAGTATCAGCTCCAGCAAACTAAATTTGTAGCATTCCAAACACACTTCGTGACATTTTGACACAAATTTGATATATTGACAAGAGGCCTAGTGGCCTTTATGGTCACCTGAGGGATTGATATTGAATATAAAGATTCAAGTGTCGTGAAAATGAACTGTGACATTGCTATTTGAAATAAGAACACCTGGTTATGGACCCTGACATGTTAAGTAGAGATGGTACCTGTGTTTTCGTGGTTGTTTTCCATCTGAAGAGCTGACACTGTCCTCATGGCCTGAATACTGGAGAATAAAGCTGTAACAGGCAGAATTATGTTGAAATATTTACGTTGAAATATTTAAGCAATTCAAGCTGTGAAAGTTTTAGTTTTAATGAGGATGTTATACAGACACCTCCACATCCAACTTGCCCCCTTTCCCCATCAAATCATACAGAATACAAATGTTTGTCATCAGATAAACTAGATGAATGGTGGCCCATTGGTCTTGTATCACTCAAATGATATATTGTTTTCCTGTAAAATAACATTTTTTGATCACAGCATAGGTTCATTTTTAAATGCCCAACACAAAAGAACAAAAAAATTAAATAGCTATTCAAAAAAGCAGCATTACTACATTTCATTTCAAATCAATGCTTCAGGGCATTTAGAGAAACATAACAAACATGAAGGATGGTCCCAGAGATATCTTACACTTGGCACCTCTGCATGTCAAATGTACATTTAAGTGACAGTTTTCCAAGGTCCCTTTAACCAGAGACTAATGAAAAACAAACCGTGTTAAATACCAATTTTTTAAAATTAAATTCCAACATGTCTGTATTGAAAAGTTATGGAGATGTACAATTTAGCCATTCCTACCTTCTGTCATCTTGGCTTGTGGCTTACTCATCAGAAGTCGTATCATCTGGAATGTAGGATGAAATATTGAGGTGTTTAAGTTCTACGATATATAATAATACCCTTAGAAGATTCAGTAAGGCAAATATATGACAGTAATTGTCAAACATGTATTTTCTCCTTACAGTGGAAACATTGTCAAATAGACAATGTCCAGGCTGTCTGAGATTTGAATAGAACATTAGGGTCAATAATCTTATTGAAAACTGGTTTACATGAACTTTATAGAAAGATTACAACAGATGCAACTAGTAAATGAATCATTGTTCCTGTGATTATGCTCTCACTACTTTGATCAGGCTGTGACTGACATTTTACTAATAATTACCAGTGACTTTAAGTGGGTAATTAATTAAGTCAATTGCCTCATATCTATTTAGGTAACCTAAATCTAGATATCTCAAGATCTAAGGTTGAGCTTGAACCCCACACTGACCTTGAATTGCTTGATGTTGTCTTTATGAGCCTGTAGATGTACAAATGTACTCCATGACATCTCTGCTAAACATGGCTCCACCTGCTGCTGCTCCTGTTACCAAGGAAATCAAACAGAAGTACTTTCTGACACTTATAAGTCATCCTTTACAACAAGTTCTAATATCTCAATTCTAGGTCCTGGCAGAAAAGAACCATCATTTTGATATCTTACAAAGCATAGTTTTAAGACATACCTCTGAAACACTTCTAAGTGCCCGACAGCTAGCCCCAACAACATCCATAGTCAAATCATAGCTGGAAAAAATTAACATGTATATACGTCTCTTCAAATAGGTTGTTAATTAACATTTCCTTTTTAATAATAAGAAATCACAGGAAAACAGAAGAGTATTTTTCATAATTGGCAATGGAAAGAGTAATATACGAATCAGTGTCAGTAATGAAAGGCTCTTTTCCCTTGTATTCCTAGATGTATCACTGGCATCAAAAGCAAATCTTAAAGTTAATTTGATATTAATTCTTGTTTTTAAAGTAAATTTAAGGACAGCAGAAGTCATAACTTCACATTTTGTCTGAGATGAAATATTACATATTGATAAGAAAAAAATCAATTGAAATTCTGTAGGGTAAACACCTCCTTAACTTCTCTTGATCCAACGTGGATATATCTAGAGAGAGGCTGTGCCCCTCAGCATGGACCAAACAGTCAGGAATAATGGTATTTAGTACCCACCACTGATCAACCATGGATATATCTAGGGAGAGACTCTGTCCCTCAGCATGGACCAGACAGTCAGGAATCATGGTGTTTAGTACCTACCACTGATCAACCATGGATATATCTAGGGAGAGACTCTGTCCCTCAGCATGGACCAGACAGTCAGGAATCATGGTGTTTAGTACCTACCACTGATCAACCATGGATATATCTAGGGAGAGACTCTGTCCCTCAGCATGGACCAGACAGTCAGGAATCATGGTGTTTAGTACCTACTACTGATCAACCATGGATATATCTAGGGAGAGACTCCCTGCATGGACCAGACAGTCAGGAATCATGGTGTTTAGTACCTACCACTGATCAGCATGGATGGACCAGACAGTCAGGAATCATGGTGTTTAGTACCTACCATTGATCAACCATGGATATATCTAGGGAGAGACTCTGTCCCTCAGCATGGACCAGACAGTCAGGAATCATGGTGTTTAGTACCTACCATTGATCAACCATGGATATATCTAGGGATAGAATCTGTCCCTCAGCATGGACCAGACAGTCAGGAATCATGGTGTTTAGTACCTACCATTGATCAACCATGGATATATCTAGGGAGAGACTCTGTCCCTCAGCATGGACCAGACAGTCAGGAATCATGGTGTTTAGTACCTACCATTGATCAACCATGGATATATCTAGGGAGAGACTCTGTCCCTCAGCATGGACCAGACAGTCAGGAATCATGGTGTTTAGTACCTACCACTGATCAACCATGGATATATCTAGGGAGAGACTCTGTCCCTCAGCATGGACCAGACAGTCAGGAATCATGGTGTTTAGTACCTACCATTGATCAACCATGGATATATCTAGGGATAGACTCTGTCCCTCAGCATGGACCAGACAGTCAGGAATCATGGTGTTTAGTACCTACCATTGATCAACCATGGATATATCTAGGGAGAGACTCTGTCCCTCAGCATGGACCAGACAGTCAGGAATCATGGTGTTCAGTAACATCAGAGTCAAGTTGTTCATTCTCAGGCCTATGTACTGTAAATTGAAGAAAAATATCCTCTATGAAATACAAGTATTATTCCTAACATTATGTAAGCTATATTTTTACAATGGGATCTTTCCAAATGAATACTTGTGTCAACATCTCTTATCATGTCCAACATTTTCCTAAAACATCAATTACATAACCTTCTTCTTAATGTAGATGATATGCTGAAATGTATTAAATCAGATTAAAATTCGGCATCAATAACAGAATTACTAACAGATATGAGATGTATAAACACAGGACCTGGTCATCAAATTGACAAGGACATTGTCATCAAAACTTTAACAAAGGGTTAAGGTAACATATCTACCAAGCAAGTCTCATAATAATTCATTTGTTCCTTTACAAGATAACATGTAGAAAGCATTCATTCAGAGTGTCGAAAGATATCAGCCAATTAGGTCACAGCACTCTCATAAATTATGCCTAGTATTTGCCGATAATCGAACCTAAACAAGGAATTAAGGTTACAAGTCAACAAAGCAAGTTTCCTAAAAATCTTATCATTCCTTCTTAAGATAATGTGCAAAAAGATTTCCCATAGAGTGATTAAAGAAATCAGTTAATCAGGTCACGAAAGCCCCATTATATAGGTGCTGAATTTGCCATTAATCAAACATGGGCAAGGAGTTAAGGTTAACAGTAACAAGTTTAATCAAAATTCTACCAGTCCTGCAAAAGATATCATGTGGAGAGCAGCATCTGAGAGCATTTCAAGAAATCATCCAATCAGGTCACAGCAGCCTCATCTAATAAGTGTGGAATTTACTGTTGATCGGACATGGGCAAGGGAATAAGGTAACAAGCATACCAACCATGTTTCATCAAAATCTGACCAATCCTTCAAAACATATCATGCAGAAAGCAGCATGCGAGAGTGATTCAAGAAATCAGCCAATCAGGTCACAGAAGCCCCATTATGTAGGTGCTGAATTTGCCATTAGTTGAGCTTAGGCAAGAGAGTAAGGTAACAAGCATACCAACCAAGTTTCATAAAAAATCTGACCAGTCCTTCAAAATATATCGTGCGGAAAGCAGCATCCAGATGGACGGAAGGAAGAAAGGACAGACAGACGGAACCCATTTGAATATCCCCGAACTTTGTTGGGCGGGGAATAACAATATTTATATCCAGTAGATTCTGCAGCACAATTTTTTGTAAGATTTCCCCCCACTGATTTATCCTTAAATACAAAAGCTATGGATTTCATTAAAATTTTGTAAAAAAAAAAAAAAAAATCAAATGGCACAAACGTTCACAAAAAATACTTTTTTTGGGTGATGGAGGAGTTGATTAAGGGCAGGGGTAAGAAAAGGAAAGGAATATTCCGAAAATTTTGAAAACACACTTCACCAATACCTGCAAATAATAGGCTATTTTTGGCAGTGTTACTTTCTTGGCTTCCTGCTGATTTGATTGTGGCTGGTTGGAGTCACTGGAGCCAGGGAAGGCAGCATTGTCAGTGGGAAACTGTCCATCTTTTCTGACATCTGCTTGTATTCTGATATCACTGATACATATCACTAGAGGTTTTCTGTGGAAATATTGAAACCTATCTGAAGATTGAAGCATTTATATTATTCTTTATCAAATTTCTTTTATTTCTTAAAAGTGAGGGATCACATGAATTTAATCCAATTTCTACATGGATAATTCCTTCTTAATCAAGTTACAAAAAGGCAAAATATTCTTCAGTCTTGATTTCTGTTCTAAAATGTATACAACCACCTGAACTGATAATACAAAAGGCCCATAAGGTCTGTATCACTCACCTGGATCTTAAAGCACACCAATGTTAAACATGCCTATAGGTTTGGTATTTCAAACATTTCCAAATTAAAGCTCAGACACTTAACCTCTTTGATGGGGCAAGACCAATGGGTAAATTCTTATATCACTAATGTCTTTCTCTTATGATTCTCAGTAAGAGTTTTTTCTGGTAGTCCTTTATCAAAGCATGATACAGACTTAACATCAATACCCTGGTTATTTTCCTTATTCATAAGAAATAGTTTGTAAAACTTTTGACCACTGTGACCTTGAAAGTAGGTCAAGGTTATTCATTTAATTACTTTGATAGCCTTTCCTCTGAACATGCTACTGGCTTAATATCAGTACTCTCTGACTGTTGGTTATTGGTTCTTTCAAGATTTTAACATATTTGACCTGTGACCATGAAGTGGACCAAGATCATTAATTTGAACAATCTTAGTTGTCTTTTTCCGAGTATGCTAAAGGCCCAAGATCATTATCATTGGCCTTTCCCTTACTGAGAAGATTTCAGCATATTTGACCCCTGTGACCTTGATTCATTTGAACGCACATGATAGCCCTTCATCCAAGCATGCTACTAGCCCAATATCATGACCCTTGGTCATTTGAATATTGAGAAGAAGTTATTTAAAGATTTAACACATTTGACCCCTGTGACCTTGAAAGTAGGTCCATGTCATTCATTTTCAAACACTTTTTAGCCAAACATAATGGCCCTTGATCTTTGGTTATTTGAGAAGATGTTTAAAGATTTCAACACATTTGACATTTGTGACCTTGAAAATAGGTCAAGGTCATTAATTTGTACAAACTCATCCCAGCATGCTACTGGCCCAATACCATGACCCTAGGCCTTCTGGTTATTGAGAGGAAGTTAAAAATGCAAATTGTTTACAATTCACAATGTATAATGCCTGACAAAAGATTATTGCAATAGGTCTCTTGAGACTTCATCACAGGTGACCTAACAAGGCTGCAGGCCATCTGTTATTTACACAAATTGCAATGTTCATGATGTTCAATAGTAATAAAACTGCAAAGACCCATAACTATAACTCTCTATATTACAGATGAACAAGTTCCATTGTCAAACTCATCCAAGTTCTTATTAGTATAAGGCTGCATACCAAATTCCATCAAAATCTGTTCATATTTACAAAAATTATCACGTTCACATGGTCCAATGGTAAAAAAATTGTAAGGTACCAAAAATCTGTTTGAATCATCTTAGATCTTAATGATACAAGGCTTCATAACCAGTTTCGTAAAACATATTTACTCCAGTTATCATGTTCATAAGTTCCAAAGGTTAAATAAAATTGCAAAGGGCCATAGCCCTGTAAGTTACAATTGAATTGGTCCTATAAGTCATATCGATATAAGGCTACAAACAATGTTTCATAAAAGACTGTTCATGTTTACTGAAGCTATCAAGCTCACAAGGTCCAAGGAAATAAAATTGCAAAGGGACATAACTCTGCAGATAACACCCATATCAGACATATTTTTGCACTTACCCACCATTTATAACATATAAGGCTGTATACCAAGTTTCATCAAAATCTGTTCATATTCATTCAAATTAGCATGTTTAGAATACCCTATGGTTATAATACTATGATGGGCTAATGGTAATAAATCATACATCTGTAAATTACAAATGAATCAGTCCCATTAATGAACTCAAATAAAATCTTATTGATATAAGGCTGTAGATCAAGCTTGATTAAAATCTCCCGTCATACCTAATTCAAGTTATCATGTCCAAAAGGACATCTTGGTGCCCACCATTGTCTGATCTTAACATTTTTTTTGTCAGTCCCAAACTCAAACAGGTACAACAAGGGACCTAAAGGGACCTATACGTGAAATTTGAGAAAGATCTATAGAGTAGTTTTCAAGAAATATTGATAACAAACTTTCAAAGTCAAAATCCCAGATGACCTATTGTGTGCCAATTTTTTCTGATCAGTACCAAAATCAAATTGGCACAACTAGGGACCAAGGGGAACCTACATATGAAATTTATGAAATATCTATCCATAACTTCTCAAGAAATAGCGATAACAACCTTTTAAAGTCAAAATCCAAGATGGCCGCCTTTCAGCAAATTTGTTTTTTCTGATAAAACCCAAAATAATATGGGCACAACTAGGGACTTAAGGAAACCTACATATGAAATTTATGAAAGATTCATCTGTAACTTCTCAAGAAAAAGCAATAACAAACTTTTAAATTCAAAATCCAAAATGGCCATCTGTCTGCCATTTTGTTTTTCTGATAAGACCTAAAATAACATGGGCACAACTAGGGACTAAAGGTAACCTACATATGAAATTTTTAAAAAATTCATCCAGTTCTTATCAAGAAAAAGCGATAACAAAAATTGTTTACGGATGGACCACAGACCATTTGAAGATGATGCAGACGAATGAACAATCACATTAGGTCACCATAACCTATAGCCAGGTAACCTAATATCACAGAACTATCATCTCTGCATAAAGCTCATTTGTCTTCTAAAGTGTGATAACTTTCATATTAATTAGCCAAATCGTTAACAACCTAAATGCAAAATTTGCACAAAATGTGAAAAAGGTCTGCCATTCAAAGCATACAATACATGTATAGGGACTCCATATGCAAAATTATATTATAACTTTCCAATTTAATAAAGGAAGTAACCTTAATTTCAATCACTTCAGATTTAACAGTTTTCGCAATCATGTACATAATGATCCATGTTATTATAACCTCATTTCGGTCATGTGTGTATTAAATGCACATATCAGTTTTTTTTCCTTCCAATTGGTTTCAAGTGTAAATTTTTATCACATTTTACTTCTTCCTAGGAATAGGAAATGAAGTAATTATAGCATAATGTTTGTACAACAGAAAGCCCACTTTGGAGTGTGCATATCAATACTGTATTTTGAGACAGTATAATTTATTTAGTTGTTTATACTATATTTGAGAGGTTATCATTTATATATACAATGCTTGCAGTTTTAATTCTGGGGTCAAATAGCTAAAAGTTCTTTTTGAATATCTGTTCTTGGTTTTGGTTACAGAAAATTTTGGTTTCCAGTAAATCTCAGAGAATATATACTGCATAATGACACCAGTATTGTCTTAACTCTGCAATGAGCCAAGAGGACCTATAAATTACCTCTGGCTCAAAGTTAGGGACTGGGCCTTTCACTAGACAATGGATCACAATATATTGTAACTCTACTTATCATGAAGCCTCTATTTCTCAAAAAAAAAAAAATTCTAATTTGATTAAATGACTCCTTATTAGACCCAGAAAATTAAGGATTCAAACATCAATTCGACAAATACCTTATCTATAACAACAGACATATCAGTTACATTCTTCATAATTAGAAAACATAATTGTATTCAAACTCACCGTTGTTCCTGGTTTACAAAACAACTGGACAGCCATGCCTTTTCTATTTCCTGTTGAAAAAACATCCATGATGACTAGATGTAAAGCATTAATCAGGACTGGAAACTATTCAAACCTCATGCAGTTTAAGTGTTTACCAAAGGAACAAGTTTAAAGACAGCACTACAAAAGTTTAATTATACTGATTTAGAAAATAAAATGTTTTCCCCGTTTCACAATAATTTTGCATTCATCTACATTCCACATATGAATCCAATCTAAATATAGCTCTTTCCTTACTTCTTTACTGAAGCTTCAAAAAAGGGACACAGAGATAATGAAATGTTCTCGACACAGTGGAAACAAGACTGAAAGGGATATCATGTCAGTTCTTAAATGTATAGAACGTACTAGGAGCAGAAAAATGCATTTTAATATCAGGTTCAAACCCAGGACCCTTTGAACTCTTAGGCAGTCGCCTTACCATTTGAGCTACCTGGTCCATGACAATAAACCCAGTCCTGCTTATCAACATTAAAGATACTTTTCAATATTTTACAGTTGAAAATATGCCAACTTTCATTCCATGATTTAATTTCAGGCTTTACAGTTTCTTTGTATTAACACAATATTACGTGGCACTCTGCATTCATATACACTTTGTGTTGATTCATGTGACACTGATAAAGAGGAACATTAATGTTGATAATGCATTGCAAGAAGTCCAGAAAAAGCATTGTTTAAACCATACAAAAAGTACAGTCCATCTGAATGTTTTTCATGATCTGATAAAAAATAAAAATGAAATTAAAGAAGAATTGAAATTATTCAGGTGGACATTTATAATTCAAATTGTTGGAATTATTCTATGAATCAATGACATTATTGCTTTCATTTCCATATAGGCTACAAGAATGCTCTTTTGAATAATTGACATTGGTGCTAATGTTATTGAAGTTGAATCAAATTCTTTTTCTTTGCCAGTATGGGCAGCCATGTGTTGAAATACTGTAAGGGTACTATACAATGGTAGAAAAATTGAGTTTACAATAACAAACTTCTGTAAAGGTAAATAACATTGTATCGGGATACCCACTCCAACAAACAGAATGAAACTGTATCAAACGAGACGAGTAATAGGGCTCCCTGTTACAGAATCTCATTACTTAAGGTATTTCTTATGTTAACTTTGAACACATATATTTTCTAATGCTGAAGTCTCCTACAATTTCACACCATAATGATGTAAGAAATGATTTAATATTATTGTACAACTCTCGTCAACCTGTTCAGAGAAATTACTGTGTCACAAATATTTATGATGACAATGAGTTAAGTTTCAGGGAGCAACATTAACATACAGACAAGTTCTGCTACAGAACTACAAAGCATCAAATACCAATATCAATACCGTTTGGCAGATCTACAAAAAGTAACAAGAGGAAAAGAAAATTGGATTAACATGACTCTCTGAAATAAATCTCCATCCATCTTAAATTTCTCAACACCATTGATGATGATTACCTACCAATTTAAGTCCCTTTTTGACTAAAATCTGTACTTTTCTGCAGCTGAATATCCCAGTCCGTCCAATCTTGACTGAGACACCAGCATAGCGCTGAAGCAGCCATTGGATCAGATATGCGAGAGTGCTGTGGATAAACAATGTTCATTATAAGCTACCTGTGCCCCCTAGAAAGTTTACTTATAAAAATGTACATTTGTAAGGATCTACTATATATCAAATTTCAGTTCAATATTACCATCCAGCTCTGGGAAATTAAGCATAAACTGATTTTCTTGAGAATGATGATGTCCGTGGACCATGATTCTGGAAAATTTTAGTTTCAGTCAAACAAACAATGAATTTTACCTGCATCTTCTCAAAATACAAATACAATAAGGTACATGTCTGACTTTAATTCAGCAATTTCCCATTCATAGAAAATTAAGCAACCTTGATTTTTTAATATTTTAACTTGAAAAGGAATCTCAAGAAAATACTTTCAGTGAAGAAGTTCTGTTTTATTTCTGTTTTATTTAGTTAAATTGACCAAAAATTGCAGATATTTTGCAGACAAGATGCTTGTTCCAAAACTTTTGGACTATAACAAATGGATTTAGGCAATTAAAAATTACAATAACTCCTTTTGATCACTTGAAATTTTCAAATTTTTCATACAAACATAGTAATACATTTCTTCGTTGTTTCAAGTTGATATACTATACACTTCATATATCATGGCTGGGAGTGGGGGTGATGTAAATATCAATTTTATTTCATGCATTTCTTAAGTATTAGTATAACCATACTGGTATGTTTTTAAATCTAAAGCCCATTTAGAACAGTAAGGTTCACTTGAAACTTTAGCAGGTGAAAGCAGCCTCGTCCAAAATGGAATGCATCATTTTCCAAGACAGTTTATAAACATAATTAACAGCTGAGCATTTTAACTAGTTGTCTTCAGAAAAGTTTAAACATCAATTTCAGACACTGAATTTGAAAATATTCACTTAAAGTACATTTTTCTTTATTTACATAATATGTGCGTAGTTGCAAATCATCTCCCAAGATCTATTTTGAGCTTTTCATTTTTGACATTTGTTACTGGAGCTGAAACGCATTATTAATCTAGTAACATGTTTTCTCATTTTGGAATAGTAAAGACAATTATGTGGGATTTCGAGGGAGGAGTGTTTTGAAGGCGGGGCGGAGGAGGGGCTGTCATAAGGGAAGTTATACAAGATCATAAAAATGAAAAGCAATTGCCCTGCAGGTGGTTGTGTGTGAGAGATTCAAGACTACATATGTGTCTGGAATTTGAATATTGTCTTAAAGTGTAATTCTACTAATTGCAAGAGATTCTAGTGTGTCATTCTGAGAAAAAATGAGACAATGTAGGTGTATTTCATCACAGTTATGAAATAGGATGAATGGGGGGTCTTGTTCTAGAGTCGGGTGGTATAAGGTTCTGGATCTGGCTGGGATAAGGTTCTAGAGTTGGTTAGGATAAGGTTCTGGAGTTGGTTAGGATAAGGTTCTAGAGTTGGTTAGGATAAGGTTCTAGAGTTGGTTAGGATAAGGTTCTAGAGTTGATTAGGATAAGGTTCTGGATCTGGCTTGGATAAGGTTCTAGAGTTGGTTAGGATAGGGTTCTAGAGTTGGTTAGGATAAGGTTCTGAAGTTAGTCAGGATAAGGTTCTGGATCTGGCTGGGATAAGGTTCTAGAGTTGGTTAGGATAGGGTTCTAGAGTTGGTTAGGATAAGGTTCTGAAGTTAGTCAGGATAAGGTTCTGGATCTGGCTGGGATAAGGTTCTGGAGTTGGAAAGGATAGGGTTCTAGAGTTGGTTAGGATAAGGTTCTGAAGTTAGTCAGGATAAGGTTCTGGATCTGGCTGGGATAAGGTTCTGGAGTTGGAAAGGATAGGGTTCTAGAGTTGGTTAGGATAAGGTTCTGAAGTTAGTCAGGATAAGGTTCTGGATCTGGCTGGGATAAGGTTCTAGAGTTGGTTAGGATAAGGTTCTGAAGTTAGTCAGGATAAGGTTCTGGATCTGGCTGGGATAAGGTTCTGGAGTTGGTTAGGATAGGGTTCTAGAGTTGGTTAGGATAAGGTTCTGAAGTTAGTAGGGATAAGGTTCTGGATCTGGCTGGGATAAGGTTCTACAGTTGGTTAGGATAAGGTTCTGAAGTTAGTCAGGATAAGGTTCTGGATCTGGCTGGGATAATGTTCTAGAGTTGGTTAGGATAAGGTTCTGAAGTTAGTCAGGATAAGGTTCTGGAGTTGGTTAGGATAAGGTTCTAGAGTTGGTTAGGATAAGGTTCTAGAGTTGGTTAGGATAAGGTTCTGAAGTTAGTCAGGATAAGGTTCTGGATCTGGCTGGGATAAGGTTCTAGAGTTGGTTAGGATACGGTTCTAGACTTGGTCAGGATAAGGTTCTGGAACTGGCTGGGATAAGATTCTGGAGTTGGTTAGGATAAGGTTCTAGAGTTGGTTAGGATAAGGTTCTGGAGTTGGTTAGGATAGGGTTCTGGAGTTGGTTAGGATAAGGTTCTAGAGTTGGTTAGGATAAGGTTCTGGAAAAGGCTGGGATAAGGTTCTAGAGTTGGTTAGGATAAGGTTCTAGAGTTGGTTAGGATAGGGTTCTAGAGTTGGTTAGGATAAGGTTCTGGAGTTGGTTAGGATAAGGTTCTAGAGTTGGTTAGGATAAGGTTCTGGAGTTGGTTAGGATAAGGTTCTAGAGTTGGTTAGGATAAGGTTCTAGAGTTGGTTAGGATAAGGTTCTAGAGTTGGTTAGGATAGGGTTCTAGAGTTGGTTAGGATAAGGTTCTGAAGTTAGTCAGGATAAGGTTCTGGATCTGGCTGGGATAAGGTTCTAGAGTTGGTTAGGATAAGGTTCTGGAACTGGCTGGTATAATGGTCTGGAGTTGGCTGGGATAAGGTTCTGGAACTGGCTGGGATATGATTCTGAAATAAGGTTCTGGAGTTGGCTAGGATAATGTTCTGGAGTTGGCTGGGATAAGGTTCTGGAACTGACTGGGATACGATTCTGGAATAGGCTGGGATAAGGTTCTGGAATTGGTAAGGATAAGATTCTGAAGTTGGCTGGGATAACTTATCTTTTGCGGTCTATTACAACGTATTGGTGTATCATTTTCAACTCAATAACTATTGTTTATCTTTAACTTTTCATTTATCTGTTATTGGTTCAATATACAGTGTATGATCAATATTAACATCCTTGTAGGTCTTCACATGACAAGTCAGTGGAATTTAATATGTAGAGTTATTCAATGGGCCACTGAATTCCTATCTGTCAAACAAAAATTAATTTGTCATTTAACTTTACAGTTCATATTAATCAGCAATACACAAGGGTCTGGTAGTTTGAATTCAAAATTAAAATATGCAATTACTTGATTCAATAATCACAGTCATATCACTTGTTTTGATTGACTGATTGCATAGGTCACAGAATCTATAATTAGTTACGTTAACTTGTTACTGCAAAAGTCGAGTGCTGACAGCCTACTTCATCATCGATATACGGAAAAATATATAATATTTCATTCTTTGTGCGCATTGTTAAGTACATATATCAATAAAATATTCAATAATATATCACCCCTTGTAAGAAACACAAACTGTCATTTCGAACTTTAAGGACATATCGGTGAAGAAACAAATTTATAATGCTAGGTTCGGTTGACGTACTAATGTTCACGTGCACTATGCTCATAAAAACACTTCCTTTGAGTTAATACCTTGTAATCAGCCATATTATGATAATTATATAGAGAATTGTCCATAAGTAGGATGGCATAATCGTTCGATTTCGGTCACTTCTTCACTTAATCGAAATGTCGGACACCAATTCATCTCTACATTCCCGACATAAACTGTCTCTCAACTGTGTTCCATAGACGGTAGGACTTCCATGTTACTTGTCTAATGTAGGTCAACTCCCATGTGACCCTATTCAACCAATCAAAACAGCTGGCCTTGCCGCCTTGTTGTTCCCAGCAAGTCGCCATTACGGCTGTCGCCATTTATGCGAAGTACTTGTGAATTCGGAATTTTTTCTCAATATATGGCCGAATTGAGGTTTATGGGTTGAGGTTTTATCTTCAATTTTATTTCAAGAACATGGAGTGACAATGAATCACCCAAATCCATCAGGCAACGGCTGTTCACTGGAGGATTGTTACGCCAACATATTTGCATTGGTAAGAACACATTTAAATACACATGAACTTATCATCTTCGGCTTAGCATCGATTGTTTTCCGATACGGTAAAGCAAGAATTGTTGATGATTATTATTCAAGTGCATATATCAGCTCATTAAGTATTACACTGTCTATTTTATTGTTCGTTTATTTGAAACGGTACTTGTTAATTTGACGACAGAACACCTGCTTAGTGAAAATAACGTTAGTTGATTGTTCGCGATCAGTGGTATTGACTTTTTGTATGTAACAGTAATCACAGAGTAATGTGACGACAATCACATAGCTGTCATTCATAAAAGACACTTCCGGTTAATGCTTTCTCACAAAATAGTGGTTATGCAAGGGGGTTTCATTTTTTGTACATTGTTTACAGACGGATATCTGTGGGATAAAATGGAGGAAATTGACAGCCAAAGCCGATTATAGTCCGAATACGGTTGATCATCTGGAGGACCCCGTTCTCGAGTCCTATTCCAGATGCATCCAGGCCGACATTCTGTGTGTTTGGAGAAGGGTACAGAAGTGTTCGGACCAACCACAGAGGGTTATAGAACAACTGTCCCACCATAAGGAGTTATGGATATTTTGGTATGGTGATGAACCGTCTGTACTTAGTAACCTCCTGTCTCCCTATTTGGATGGTAAGTACTGTTCCATAACCAAGTTAATCAGTATTCCCCCATCCACATCTACTGAAAAATAAGTAAAATTATTGAATGAATTATGTAATTCAGTTTTGTTTGGATATGTTTAACAGGTTAAACACCACTGTGTCATAAAGATCAAGTCCTCCTTGAGTTTTTTTGTCAATTTTCATTTCTGGTGGAAGTCACATTATCACACCAAGTAATGATAAAAGTACACTTTTTTGTGTTTATGGTATGGGAATGATATTTAAGAACTTATTATATTCTAAATTGGTAATTCAATACTTACATCGATAATTAAGTGTTCATTATCAATTTTACTATAACCTGAGTAAAAATGTGTAGTTTCCAACAAACAATGCATATGGACGTCTTCTCCTCATCCAAGTCAAATTATCTCTATTGCTGTCTTTGACAAGCTGGTGAGAATGCAAGTTACAAATCTTCATTGAACTGTGAGAGAAAAGCCACTGGTTAGAAACTCTTGACACATAAGCTGCTCTTAATGACATTTATGAAAATGAGGTATAAAAAAACTTCATTCTCAAACTGATTACCCCTGAATGAGGGTACAAAATCTTCAAAATTGGTAAAATTCTAGACTTGTACCTCAGTTTTCAAGGACTCCTGTATGAATATTTGGTTAAAGGTATGATGTTCCAACAGTTTCAGAATACACTGAATTTTATAAAGTAAGAAAAAAATAATCAAAATTAATCAGGTTGTCACAAATAGACAATGAAGTTGACAGGAAAGTACAGTAAATTTGGCAGAATAAATGTTATTTTGAGATTTAGAAATGTTGGAAAAGGAAAATAAGACATGAAGACTTAAGAGAATACCTTTTGATAATTTTGTTGTTTCCAACATTTTCTGGATTTCCACAGGAGCTCTGTAGTCGTATCTTTTCTCTGAAGTTGTATTCATTCTGATGTTAGCATTTATTGATTTGAGCATGACAACTTTTTCTGGCCATGGAATTGGAAATGTTTTATCAGTCATTGAGATAATGCATAATGTAGAAATGTTATGATAAAGATTACTTTTTCTTTTCACTCTAGAAACTGAGCATGGATCCTGGGATAAAGACAAAGATAAAGACAAGGATAATTCTTTATCTTATGAATGCCGTACATTACTCTTTAAAGCTCTTCATAACCTAATTGAAAAGTTAGTATCATAAAATATAAATAGATGTATATATGAAAATTTTCCATCAACAGAGGAGATTGCCATTATAAGGGATTATCATTACTGTCTGCACAAACATATGCAAGAAAGAGTTCTTAATGTATTTAGTTTACAACCAAGGATTAATTTAAGGCATTATTTAAAAATCCATGTATTGATGTTTTTCCAAATTCCATTGAAGTTTATAAACCTATTTTATTGCTATATATGTATGTTATCTTTTTTTTTCAAAATTCCTTGTCTTTAAGCATTATACAAACCTTTGTAAACATTATTTTCGATTATATTTGCAGGTGTCTATTAAGTAAAGGTTTTGCCAGACTTGGAAGGTGGTTTGTGCAACCCTTTGACTCGACTCAAACCAACACAGAAAGAGGGTAAGTAAAGTTAGTGTGATATATTTGCAATGTGCAACATGATCCAATGTATGATGCATTCATGTAATTAGTAGTTACAATAGGTTCTGCAAAAACTGCTAGATCATAGGACATGTCTGCTAAATGTTGTTTAATCTACAAAGAAAAACAAATTTAATGATTTTTTTTTTTTTTTTTTTTTTTTGTGATTTTGACCTATTTAAAGTTTTTGAGTTAGAAAGTAAGTGGAGTTTATTTTTGCCAGGATTTTAAATACTGTTTCATGAGCACACAAACTTCTCATTAATCCCCATTTTTGCTATGGAATTGAATGTAGACATCTAGGTATTGTTTTTTTTCGCATTTGATTTGATGCCTGTCTTATTGCTCTTGCTCATGAAATATATTTTCTTCATTTCAGAACTCATCTGTCCTTCAGTTTCAACTTTTTCCTACATGGAGAAAGCTCTGTTTGTGGTAGTATTGACGTAAAACAACACCCACCTGTATGGAATCTTACTCCGCAGCATTTGACTTTGGCACAAGAAAATCAGGCCAATTTCCAAGGTAAAGTTCATCAATATTATACTAGATCTAGGCTGATGAGATTGTGACATCATGGTTATCTTAAAACTGTCAAACTTACTATTTCCTTTGGATTTTGGTATCATAAATTCATCAATTGAATTAACTAAAGAATAAAAAATTGTTTTATGGGGCATTCTAAGACTTTTTGTATTGTAAACATAAATTAACAATTAAGTCCAGACTTCATAAGCATTATTCTAAAACTTGTAGTCAAAAAAGGCATCACACTTTCAACATGGATATTACTTTGTTGTCATTTCTATTTCCTACAAACAAAATATCCATCTGCTGCCTGGTTTATTAACAGATTTTGATTAAATATCTTGTTCATAACATCATATGTTCTTTTTAGTCATCCTTGCACCCTATGGATTAAATGGGACCCTGACTGGAAATTCGTACAGAGAGACTGACCAATCAGCACACAAAATCCTGGAGGAATGGGGTCGATTTTACCCACTTAATGCAGACGATCTGAAAGACGATACATGTCGCCCACCTCCCCTGGTGGAAGTGGTTGTTGGTAAGTTGGTTTGTTGTGCCAGTATGGTAATGAATTGAGATCTATTTCAGTAACATTTTGTCTTATCATCATCTATGATGCTTTGTCCATCTGTAATCAATTGACATTTCAAATATTCTAAAACCACTGAAGCAGTCATGGCCAAATGCAAACCAAATGAATTAAACTATTCCCAACCCTAAGGGGCCTGAGGAACAGGTCGTGGATGTCTTATGAAATGTTGTCAAGATGATAGTGACATTAAAACCTGAAAAAAGTACATGTGTCCCTGCTAGCATGCCAGCAAGAAAATAGAGAGATTGCCATAAGCTGGCTGGATGACTTTAAGATCCATAAATAAAACGATGTTGATCATGAAGAATCAGGAAAGAAAATAATTTCAGGTCAAACTGTTTAACTGTGATAAATTCGCATTGAAGAATTTTTTTTCTTTTTTTTTTTTGTGTGAAAAATTTTAAGCTTTGTCAATTGTAAACAATAAACAAAAATTATCTTAAGGGAAGTAACTCCAACTTACGACATTGGTAAAAAATTGTATTTAAAATTGGCTGCTTCATCTTGATTTCCTTAAATGACATAATAGAATGGCAACAGAAAGATTATTTAAGCCCTGTAAGCCAGATTTTCATATTGGTAAATGTTTTAAAATGTCTATGTTCTTACAGTGTAGTAATTTCTGCACTGTATACTTTTATCAATTCATGATATACTGCAGTTAAGAACAGAGATATAACTTTTTGAAAGGGGAAAAATTGTAAAATGAGTGTGAAAATTGTGGGGTCTCTCACACTGTGATCAGCTAAACATGTCAGAAAAATTATAGTTTTATAATAAGGTATTGAAATTATAACTTATTTTCAGACATTTTTTAAGACAAGCAACTAAGTGATATATGTAATATATTGTGTTCAAATTAATGCCTTCATTGAACACCAAATTAGACAAAGTAAACTAATTTTCATTGATCATGACATCATGTTCAATTTATTGGATTAGTTTGGTCATTTCAATGTAACATTGTTAGGAATACAAGATTCTGAATCATATAATTGTTCATAAAATTTTGAGAGTATGGAATCACTATCGAGACTATCGTTTAGTTAACATCGTCACATTGCAATAGTGTTATATATTTATGAATATTTGGTGCTTATGAAATACAAAGGTAGATTACATGACAGCTTTGTGATATTATTTTACATATATTTCAAACCTTAAGATTTACTGGACATACTTGGTTATTTTTAGGATTTAAAGTCTGGGAGGTCGGCATATTACCGGACAACAATATTGCTTTGGTTCATGATTTTACTGAAGAGCAGTATATATACATACATACATACATGGGCTTATTACAGAGTAAATATTGGTAAAGAAGTAGTTAAAGTTTCAGGGAAGGCAATTATCAATATTAATGTCTCTTCTTTTCAGCCGGAGTTCGAATGAAGTACCCATCTTGTTACGTGTTCTTATGTGACGCTGAAGAATCTCCAGCCCGTGTGCAGCCCCATCCAGTCTCCTCCACATCTCGTCAATCGGGTGGCCCAATGAGCCCACCAACATCACCAGAAAATTTGGTTGGGGGTGAAACTGGCATTAAAATATTACCATCCCTTCACTACTCGGGCAACCCAAGCGAACTCAACACAGACATAGTAGCTAATACTGCCAATGCATTCAGTATCCAGATACGCAATCGAGTCAGTCAGGATAACTGTCTCACATCAGGCATTGTGAAAAGGTTAGTAACAGGGTCAAACAAAATATATTTACCATTTCCAGCAAACTTTCTGATCATTATATTTTATGCTTACCCTAAGCTTTTTAAGACAATTTTAGAAGCGTAACAGGCCAAAGATCACTTTTCTAAGTAAAGCATATAAAATTATTTGTTAAATTACAAATTTTTGCCTACCTGCCTACCCAGAATGGTTTTTGCAGACAAATAACTCATTGAGCTTACATGTTTGTTCTGCTACACTGTGATTTATAATTAACAAATGATGGTAAAAAAAATTGTAAGTTTTACAAAAGTCACTGTTCTGTAGTCGGTGTCATGTTGCTGTAACAGAATGGATTTCATTTTGATTGTAACACATAAAACTTAGAGAATGTAATAATTCATACTCATGCATCATATTTTACTTTTTTTTTTCCATCAGATCAACAGAGACATTTAATGATAGCAATTCTGCTGGAGTGTGGGAATTGAATGATCCCACTGCTAAATCAAACTGCAACTGTCTGAGGTAAATATCAACTGATTGCTTTAAGAGGTGCTGTGCTGGTTCTTGTTCCTTTGTCCAGCATAAAAAATGGCTATGAGTTTTGAATACATAATTTTGCATTTCTACAAACCTGACACAGAATGTTACAACAATTTTTACCTTTTTCTCATGAGATATAGTATGAAATGTGTCTTCAAGGTTTTTTTCTTTTTTAAATTTCATTACCATCAGTTGCCACTTAGAATAGCAGTTAATAACAGAAACTTATAATTAATTTGTTTTTTCCATACACAAAAGTCTTCAAACAAAGATCATTTTGAGAGATAATGATAATCTTCAAGAAAAGACACAATTTTTTTTTAAAGAACATAAAAATAGTTAGTATATTAGTTGTAAGTAGGAGTTTTTGTCTCCTCAAAAATGAAATTAAGGTGTTACTCGTCTGCTGCATTGGCATTTTCATTATTGAACCTGAATGTTTCATGTTTAGATCCGTTGGTCAAAAAGTGTAAGTCTTCATTTAACCAATCTTGATATATAGCTACATCACATAGTGGCCATGGCACACCTACTTAAATTTTAGGAATTAATAAATAAATCTTTATGGTTTGTTCAATTTTTTGAGATTTAGTTTATGGTTACATTAAAACATGTCTTGTAAAACATAATGCCTATTTTCCTCACCCTCGTATGAAGGAATATGTTTGGAATATGTTTGGCATGTCCATGCTGTGTTGAGATAGTGTACAATGCATGAAATATTTTAACATGACAGCAGTATATTTTGCATTTTGCTTTAAAAAATACCCAAACAGGTAAAGCACATAATTACATGTTATTCTTGTGTTTTAATCTGCCTTCAGTCCATGCTTCAACACAGAATCATACAAATTGATCTAATGTTCTTATTTCAGACACCGAGCAAACAAAGCTAAACAGAGTCTGGTAAGTCATGGGAAAGGCCCAAACACCGCTGGTGCCAAACATCAAAAGGGGGAGAATCAAGAGAAGCTAGAGCGCCAACAGTCACGTGTGAATCGCGGTTTAACTTCCTTCCACAGACGAGCTCCTCTGACTGATGATTTGCTCCAGTTTGATATGATAGGGATGATGCCACAAGTTCAGCCTCCTCCACCCCCGCCTAATGCCAACTTCGGCTCCACAGCAAGTGCCAATGTTTTGCCTCAGCTGAATGATGGAGTTGGAGTGGAATCCCCTTCCCCAGCAGCCCCCTCCCCACTGGATGAGCCCCACAGCCAGACTGTGGTCAATCCTAGTGTTGACCCCACCATGCCCAAACTTAGCCCCCATCCTCCAGCCGAGGAGTCAACGGAAAAGGAAGTGGGAGCATCAGTAGGAAAGCCTGCTGCAGAGAGTGTAATCAATGGGGGAGTGGACAATGCTGCAAAACCAGCAGAAAATGCCTCCTCAGTCTCCCAAAAGGCATTGACAGACAGTGTATTCTCGCCTAACTCATGGCCAACAAGCCAAGGAGACATTGTTAAAAATTCTAATGTGAATAGCTGGATTTCATCTCAGCAGCGGCAAATTGATTCTATGAACCTGAAAAGGCCAATTTTACCTTCAAAGGATTGCGAGCAAGATGAACTAGTCACAAATGCTTTATACAGCTTTGAACAAGTCAATGTGTGGTAAGTGCAAATTATTTATATTAGAATATGCATGTATCAGTTCTCAAGATAAACATTTAACCCTAAAAGTAACTAAAGTGGTAATCAGTTATGTATTATAAGCTTTGTGGAGTTAACATTCTTCTGTATAATTTAGGTTCAGTCTACATTTGGTTAATTATATTTCAGGAATAACTTTCCTGTGAAGAAGGCAAAAGTTGAGGGTCTATACCTGGCTGGTCTAATGGGATCACAGGTTCCCCATGATCCTCGACAGAATAGTATGCCCAGTCCAGCTCAGAAAAACCACAAGCCCTCAACACCCCAGCCATCAGCTCCAGACATTTATGAGTTCTCGGACGAAGCCTCCATCAACCCATCCCCAATCTCAAGACGAAGCTTCAGAAGTAGTCGTGATGATCGTGCATCATTTACTAAATTGGTAGGTTATATTGAAAATATTTATCCCATTTTCAGTCTGATAATTCTCCTTAATTGAACTACACATTACTTCCAACTTTAATAATTAGTTAATAATTTGGTATAATGTTAAAAGATTTTTTTTTTAAGTCTAAGAAGATGTGAAATCAGAGATAGTATTGGAGAAAGTATTCTTGTGAAATGGTAGTGTTTTAGCAATATTGTAATTTGGCTGATCTGATTTTGTTTGTAGGAGGATGACAAGGATCCTAGCAGACACAACAGTGATTCTTTTATGTTTCCTGACAGGGCATCTCATGGAGGTCAGTTCCAGTATAATCATTTTTGTGGAATATAAGAGATTGTTGGAAATAAATTATCATAGTCCCAGAGCTGTTCTGCAGAAGACATATTTATCATGTGTTAATACTTAACGTCATATTATAAAAACCAGAACTTTCCAAATATAGTTCAAGACAAGATAAAGTGGAAACAAGAATTAAAATATATATTGCTTCCATAGTAAGCCTGTCATCATTTTGAAATTTACACATGCTGTGATAGCTAAACTAGTAATTAACCCTTCTGTGTTACAGAGTCTATGGGTTCACCACCAGAGACACCAAATCCTGTCCCAACACCAAGTCTGACACATGAGTATGATCTCCGGCCAACTCAGAGTGACCTGGATCACATATTTGATGATTCAGATAATGATGATGCTGTAAGTATGAGTTTGTAGGAGAATATTCCTCATAAAATATTGATGATACTGTATTTGTAAATAAAGAGGCTTTACAAGGACAAGCACGCACTTTTACAGTGCTGAATTTGCCATTATAAGCCCAGCTCATACCTTGACTCAGTTAGATATGAATGCTTCATTGGCAGCATCATACTTTTTCGTTTAGAATTTGTAATTTTGTAGAGAATTCCAATCTCAGGGATGATATCTTAGCATTAGTTGTACCAGACAACTTGGTCTCAGAATTATTTTGATCTTGGTCTTTTACAATCATTGTCAACTATTTAAACAATTGGTAATTGGTAGTCCAATCTAAAATAAATTTGGGGCTCTCCATGAGATAATTTTATGTCCTATTATTTGGTTATTAAGTAAGTGATTTATGGTGTTCTGACATAAAAAATGGTTCTCAGTTGACAACCTTTATTTATAGTTCTCCATTATTTTCAATCATATATTCTATTTATGGACAATTTGAAACTAGAGATTCTGCACAAGCTAGATTCTCGAAAAGATGTTGAGCTGTAATTAATGGGATATTTAGAACTACGTTGGAACTTCACATATGTGAGAATTTGATTTATCTGGATTACATGAGTAACATATCTATTGCAATTATTCTTTCAGTTTACTAGTCCAAGTATAGTTACCGAAAAGGCCACTGAGGAAAAGAAAATTCCAGCATCCCTTGCAAGTGCTGTGATAAGCGATGGATCAATAGGTAATGTCTTGAATAGTTAAAATAGCTTTCTCATTTCTCGAACTTCATTTGATTTTATTGTCAAATGTGTTTGGTTTAAAAAGATGTCGAATCATGAATACAAATTTATAGTTATATATTATGCACATTTTTGCTACATCTGTCTTGGTACCTTAAATAAGAATTAAAAATGCTTAAAATGTTATTTTGAATTCATGAAACGATGAATTAAAAATTGCAGCTGCATCAGAGTTGATGAGGATGTATCCCACACCACCCTCTAACCCTGAGTCCTGTCATGACACTGCGATGGAGGTGTCCTGTGTTGAAATAAAGCCAGTAATCAAATCTGAGATCTTCCAGTGCATTAGCAACCCAGTGGAAGACTTTTCTAAGGTAGGATCAAAAGATTTCTGCTTCTTTTTCTGAAATCATTGTATTTTAGTTTATATCTGTCAGTATTTTGGTGAACTTGGAATAAGGATATCTGAGAGATGCTTTTCAACTGAATAGATATTACTGCATTATGTTTTCCTATTTATGAATGTGCTGGTTGGCAGCAAGTTCATCATGTAAAGCTTTTGAGCATGAACTGTATAGTAGAAATTTATCAAAAACAGCAAAAATGGCTGTGCATGTCAGCATTATGAGTTGAGCAATCACTGTGATATTGTTTCATGGTATTGAGTTCAGATTTTTAAAAAGTCTGAATTTATGTATTTCAGGATTGGTCATATGTGTACAAGCAGCCAACTGCAGCTCAGTTTGACGTGTCCAGTAAATACTCGCCAGTGGATCTTCCTAGCGCTAATGGTCAGTTGTCTCCTGTCCAGCAACCACCAGACTACAAAGCATCATGGCAGTACCCGATGCCAATAATGGAAAAACCTAACCCAACAAGGTAAGCAAGTCTTCACTCTGTTGATAAAGTTTTGTAATCCCTTTCTTATGTGAAATGAGACAATATTAAAAAGATTGATCGGTGACATATATGATGATATTTCAGACTTGACAGAGTACGTGAAAAAAATTCTGTATGAGAACTATATAAAAAAAATTTCAATATGGTTTATCACACAAGAATTCCAATATAAAGTATATAATCTTATGACCAATTACATTTACTTTTTTTAATTGTTAAATTTATTTCATGTGATTCTTTTTCAGTTATATAAATGTGCCGTCCATAGAGAACATCCCCAGTCTCTCTTCGCGCATGCCCTCAAGTGCTGTGGCGGCTTCTCCAGCCCCATTTCAGAACAGTGTTGGCCAGCAGCGCACTCCTATGTCATATGAGCTTCAGTCTCCAGCATCTAATGCATCATCATATCTCAACAAGACTCTTAATTCTATAGACAATTCAGGCACAAACAATCAGATGCCAGAGGTTCATAGTCTCATTGTTAACATAACATTGTCCGACACGAGGCTCAACTTATTCCGTGATTATAACTTCGATAGTTGCAATATTTGTGTGTGTCAGATGAGCATTAAGGGTGTAGATGTGGGACTTTACATGCCTGACCCAAGTGGTGCTCCCCCAGAACCTCCAGAGCGGTGCTCATGTGGCTTCAGTGCTGTTGTGAATCGTAGGGTGGGGCACAATGCTGGCCTGTTTTATGAGGATGAAGTAGAGATAACAGGCATACGTGATGATCGTTATGACCAGAGGAAACCTAGTTTGTTATCAATGGAGTACCAACAGAAAGACAGTAATAAGTCAGAAGACTTGAATCAAGTGGAAATGGAGTTACTTTTAGGACAGTTTACAATGCCCTACTCTTCATTCACTGCTTCAGAACACATGTTCAAACTCTGGCTCTCCAACTCCTCTCATTATACAGGTTCTGTCTTCGACGTGCTGCAACTGCAGGGTAAGTGGTAGTGTTGTGGAAATAATGGGATGTTGTGGAATACTTCATGTTTTATGTAAATGAATACTTAGTGTTTTATGTAAATAATGTATTTATCTTGAAATATTCCGAGGATGCCAGTTTATGTGTTAAATTGAAACAGGAATGAAAGGCATATTTAGCACATCTGCGATAGGTGTGGGAAGGAAGTTAAATGGATGAACATGTGACTCAATATGCACATTTCCAAGTCAATCTTGAATTTGCAATAACATGGTATTTTTATTTCCATGCAATTTGGCTAAAGTGTATCTATTTATCTTGAGTATTTTGTTTTAGTCTTGCCAAGTTTTCATGATTTAATGTATGTCTCTAAAACATGGTGATATTCCCAACTATATACAGAGTCAAGGCTTTTAATATATCACTTAGTCCAAACAGTAATACTGGAAAGGGTGGCAGCATTGTAGGAATCAGGTCTTTAGAAAATTATGTCTCATGTCCCATCATTCCTGTTTAAAACCTCACATCACAGATATGGAAAGTGTTGGGAACGGACTGATAAATCATGTTTTTGGTAAAAAAATATCATTTATCGGTTGATTGACAATTCAATCAGAATGTTTTGTTATAGCAATTCAATATGGGAAATTGAAGGACAAAGACAAAATTGTTTGAACCAGAAGAGTTTTGTTTCAAGGTGATCTGCCTGCCATTTTCTGTCAAAAAAGGATGTTAGAATTAGATTTCTACGATATGAGGCTAAAATTTAAGCTGCTACATGACATTAACTTATAACAAAACAAGTATAGAAGACTTATTTCCAAAAACCGACAAGGTTGATGAAAATTTCAGGAATTGGTTTTTACTTTTTCATAGTCATAATTATAACACTAATGAGGCTACTGTATTATATTGTAAGGTCAGTCTGTGTATATGATATCGTTAGCTGTGATGTGATGTGATATCTTCTGTTTGGATTATTTATTAATTACGAATTGTTATATTCACATTTACATTTTGGTCAATGTTAAAAAAAAATGTCACATTCATTTAAAACTTTTCTATGCATAAAAACAACAAGAAAATAATCAAATGTTTGAATGATCTGTTACTACATCTGTTGATAGCCTAATTGATACATACGGACCATATTTCATTAGGATATCTTGTGTAAAAGCCTAAAAATATGGATATTTTTCTATGAGTACACTGATGGATGTAGATGGATAAACAAATTTATAAGGCATACTGTCTTCAGTTTGATCAGAGATAAGTTATTACTGTAATATGAAGTGCTAGCAGATTTTGTATCGCAAACCTCAATAAGATATAATTACGCATATTCACGGCAACATGCAAGCTAACAAACCTTAACAAAGCAAAGATCTCGCAAGAACATGACTACGGCATGAGAACAAGATCATCACTTTTTCTAATATGGATTCAATTAAGCAGAACCATTTTAATATCACTAAATGCAATATAAGCATGAGGTCTATCTTTAGGTAAATCTATTCAAAATTGGTCTTCAATCCTTTTCCACTTGTATTAATAAATGAAACCAGAAGTTATTTTGGCCTAAATGTAATGATCCTTTGGTAAATGGGCCTATAAGAAGAAGGGTCTAGACATACTATTGAATCTGCATGGTATATTGTATCTCAAATGACAAACCATATTCTACTGATTAGTGCACCCCACCTTTGTTGGAGGGATATTGCATACCAAATGCATATTTAACCTATATATGAGGATATTTAACTTTAAACTACATACTTAATCTTTTGTTAAAATAGTTCTGTTTGGAAATTGTCAAGTGGTTTTTTTTTTCTTTTTTTTTTTTACACTGATTAAATTTTTGACTCTTTTTTAACTTCTGTTTATTGATGACGGGAGAAGTTGAAGAAAACTATTAATTGGGTTTAAATATAAACAAATAAGTATGTTTATCTATAAAATCTAACAAAACAACTAAAATGTGTTACAACTGAGGTGCGTTCAATTGATAGCTTACATTAAAGGCACTGTAACATTCCTACTTTCAGTTTCAGTCAAAAGATTTTGTTGTATTTTCTTGAAGATATTTGATAATCTTGTTTCTGCTTAATTCATACAATAAATAGCAGCAAATAAAAGGTGACATACCAAACATATAACACAGATGTAAAGCATCCTGTAATCGAAGCAGATTTATTTTGCCATGTGCTTAGTGAAGCTTCACAAGCAGAAAACTACCTAACAGGCAAAAGGAAATTTGAAACGACTAAGCAAACAGTTTATAAAGTGGAACCATTCAGTGTTTTTGCAAGCACTCAGTACATTAATTGGGTCAGATATGGTCTCATAGTGACCTTTTACGATTACCTTCTCTGGCGTCATGCATTGTGCACCTGTAAACAATTTCAACATTTTGGACTTCTTCTTGAAAACTCCTGATCCAATTTCAGTGAAATTTTACAGAAACCTTCCCTGGCAATATGATAAGCAGAATTGTGATTTTACAGTCCCCACCCCACAAGGGCCTGAAGGGCAGGGCCAAAAGGGATAAAATTGACTCAGATTTTAAAAATCTACTTCTCAACACTCAGATATGGTAGAATCAAATACTCTGCATAAATGAAAGCATTTCAGGTGCTTTATCAAAATTGTGAATTTAATTATCCCAGTGTCTCAGAGTTCCCCATGGGAAAGGGGTAAAGTTTGCTATATTTTATATAGGGAAAATAGATTTTTGAGTTTAATTTGATTAATTTTGACTTTAAATTTCAAAAGTCTTCTTCTCAACACCCAGGTATGGTAGAATCATATGCTCTGCATGAATGGAAGCATCTTAAGGTGCTATGATTAACAAAATGGGTCTCATGTTTATTGATCAGCTTTAAATGGAAATAATTATTTGATTTTTGTATTACATACATCTTCATTTGGCAATTGGCATGTCATTTGTAATAAACACAGTTGACAAAATAGATTTGAAAAACAACAGGTTGAGCATCTAAGGAAATAGGACTATCTTCTTCAGAGGGTAATTAAAATTATTCCTGTCAAAAAATTTGGATGTGATATTTGTTCTTCCGTAAGTCAACTCCTTATCATACACAGGCTCATGAATCGTTAGCCTTCACCATGGCATCTTACTGCTGGAGTAGAGAATCACGTTGCATGTGCTAATCATAAAATCAATGCCATTAAAGCCAGCTCTTGAATGCATGTAAATCGGGCCAATATGCTAATATTCCTGTGACTTGAATATAAAATGACAGCTATTGACTGATTTGATAGTGTTAGCAGATAAACATGCAGGAAGGAAATGTAATAAAATATGTTGCACATACAATTAGTCATATCCCTTTCAATAGCTAGTGGGTGGAATATAATGATAATGATAGTTTATCATGTCAGAGTGCTGAAAGCCTGACATAATGTTCCTAACTATCAACTTGCCTTCTAGGATGGATTGTTGATCTGGAAATTACATCTCCTACCCATTACAGAAATTAACTTTGTAAGAGAAACCAAAAATGACAAGATAATAATGATCAGACCATGGAAGATAGTAATATTAGTAATAATGAAAGGTTAATTAATTAGTATCAATGAATGCTGGTTCAGATTTTAGTCACCAGCTCATCTAGTAGATTGACATTATGTGTATTCATTGACTGAGAATAAAATTCTGTGATATACTTGAAATTACACTGTATCCATGTTTATTATTGTGTACTGACTAAACTTTAAAATATAGACGAAGATGATGAGGTTTTTTAATATGAATGTGACTTGTTTTTTGTTGTAGATGGAAATGAGGTGTCATATCAGGCACTGGATCAGGGACGTCAGGCCATGGAACATTGTCCACCTTGTAAACTAGATGATCCTCACATGAAAAAGAGTTGTCTTCACAAGTGGCAGTTTCTGCAAGGGGCTGGAAGGATTCCACAAAATTCACAGGACAGTGTGCGTCTCCTGAAAACTCTTCAGCCCTTGCTGCAGGACGCCATACAGAATAGCCGTGTAACAAGGTTGTGGGAACATACATACAAACTCTCAGGTCCCCTCACCTGGAAAGAGTTTCATCAGCTGGCAGGCAGAGGTACAATACAAACTGTGCACATCTGATTAACTACAGCAACTTGATATGCAAGATAATGATATTGAAGTTTTTGTATTGACTAACTGCATTTTAAAATAGTTAGAAGACTAGTTTGCACAAGGGTAACATAGTCAAAAGAGCTTTATTTCCACTGATTTGGGAATGAGCCTTTTTTTATGTCATTTTATTATCACCTTAAAATATGTTTTAACCAAACAGAGAGTGATGTACTTGATATTGCATAACAAGATCTCACAGTATTAAATTTTCATACATATTGTCCTTATTACCAAATGTCAAATAGATAAAAAAAACTCAGTTTTAACATCACGTTGGAACTGTTTTCTTGCTGTGTCACCAAAAACATATCTATATTATGTACAACAAAACTAAATTGATTCCAGCTATATTATTGAGATAGCCTACATACCCCCTGGTGATGATGATACTAGTATGGTAGTTATAATAGGCTGCATCAAGTTACATAACTCAGATATTACAGGTAACAAATTTTGCTACTACATTATGTGCCAAAATTGATGAGAAAAGATTGTTTTCACATGTGTTTTAGGTTTCGTTTGGTGAAAGAAACTGTCATTAATTTTTGTTTTAAATAGTTGCCTATTAAAAACAACGCTCAATTTTTTATTTTATAGGTGCAGATGAGAACTCGGCTCCTCAGCCAATCCCTTCATTCCTTGTTGGTTATGACCGAGACTGGCTCTCGGTCTCGCCACATGCTTTGCACTTTTGGGTAAGTGTTGAGTTAGCATATACATGTATATTACAACTTTCCATTCTCTATTAGCATTTCATTACTTGGTAAAATTATTTAAAAGATAAAATGATTCCTGTTTAAAAACTTTATTATTCTGTAAAATATTCTGATTTACCTTTCTGTTTTAAGAATCAACTAAAATATATAGACTTAAAATAAAGTAGACACTAGATTTAGTATCAGAATTTGGGATATAAAGTAAACTTTGTGAACAGCTGTAGATACATGTACAATGGAAATTCAAGGTATTTTGGTATTTAGAAACACCTTAGGAAGTACTCTCTTGACAGTCAACATGTTCAGTTTTATCTTAAGTTTGATTTTAAAGTTATGCATTTTTTGTGAAGTTAGGGACTATTTTTATCATTATTAATGATTTTATGCATCCTCAAAAACCTATGAAAAATAGGTCCCTACACTAACTTTACACAAACTTTTCATGAAAATTCAGTTAAGATTTTAGTCCAAATTCAGCAATAGGAATTGATATCAAATATTGTGTTTGCAGGATAAGCAGTTCTTGGAGCCCTATGGTAAACCTCGTGATATTGCCTATGTGGTATTGTCTCCTGAAAATGATTACATTGTCAATGCTGTGAAGTTGTTCTTCAAAGAGCTTAGCACAGTGTATGGTATGTCTAAGATGGGAAGACATTGTCCAGCTTCCAAGGTTCTTCGCGATGGCATCATGAGGGTTGGCAAGAAGGCAGCAGAAACTGTACTCAATGAGTCTGTGGATGAATGGTTCCAACAGATTGGTAAGAATAAGCAAGCTTTTATTTTAAAAAAAGGTTGTTGCAGATTAATGTACTAGAGTGCAGAATCTTTTTTTCCTTATAGAATCCTTATCTTTACTACCAATTTTTAATATCTTTAAAAGGGACTTTTTCTGGGTCAATCAATTTTCCACTGACATCACCAGGTAACTTTAATTTGGAAATTTTGTCTTTATATTGATGTCCAAAATAAAGTTATAATGTCTGTGAATAGATGTACTAATTTAACCTTTCTTTTTATAGGCGATTCACCCGTAGCTGAAAAATTGAGACTCTACGCAAAAGTTTGCTTACATCGTTTATGTAAGTAGACATGGCTTTTTAGAGGATTGTAGATGTATAAATGTTAGATATTATCAGTAGATAACAGTCAGCATCTTACCTGTGTAATGCTAACTATGTAACCTCAAACTGACTAGAAGGATTTCACTGCACAAGATTAAGTGTCAAGTTAAAGGTTTTTTTGTTGAGAAATATTTTAGTTAATATCTTATAGGTAAAATGTTATACTTGTGATTTACATAATGCTTCACTCACAATGATATGATTTTTTATTTATCAGCACCATATCTGTCACAAAATATGGACATGAAGTCATTGTTTGAACCGACAACAACACACAGACCAGGCTACAAAACACCTGACTCATCAGCACCCACCTCTACGCCTGCCTCTACCGCTCCCACCTCACAATCAGACCACTCAACATTCAATGTACCTACATCACAGGCAAACTCAACAGAAGACAAAGGTATGTTGTTGGCTCATCTAGTCATAAGCGAAACCCCTATGACAGCGAGTTTTGGCCCAGTTAAAAAAGTAGAGGATAACTTGAAAGTGTTACAGGATGAACATATATTAATATCTGAATGGTTTACAATGCTGGTGTAAAGATAATGTACATGCCTAATTATATGGGCCTTAGAGACTTTAAATTTCATTAAATGAAAAATTTGAAAACTTCTTTATCAAACAGATTAATATTAATTCATGCCTAATTGTTATTTCAAGATTTAAATTAGGTTCTATATTTATTTTAGAAAATAATGCTCATGAGAATGGGGAATCCCAAAAAGACATGAGTTTTGGTAGACAGGACGATGAAGATGAGAACACAAACTGCCCAGCACTGGTCATTTACATTGTAAATCCATTCACTTATGGCAATGAGTGGGACAGTAGTCTGGACAGGCTTGTACACACAGGGCTCCTCAAGTGTTACCAGGCTCTCGTCAAAACACTACCTCCTCAGCTACAACAGAATATTAATCTCCAGGTATGTGGATCATATCTCTAGTCATTTTTCTTCTCATCATTCTCATTCTGGGTGGCCATTTCCACAGTCATTTCTAGATAACAAGGTGAAAAGTGTCTATCCTGTCACTTTCATGAGATAAAATTTGCTTTACAGGACTCACTTAGACATTTTTCTGATTTTCAGGGTCTCAGACATAATTACAAATCTTATCAAAACTGTCTTGCTGTATTTTGTGTATATGTAAACAACACACCTCAACTTTGTTGACTTGTAATAGCCTTTGTTCTGACTTTAAACACAGATGGTACCCCTGAAGACAATTCTGGAGAACACAGAAAAAGGTAGTAACACACAACTGTTGAAGTCCATGTCATTTTCTGTGTTCAATATGTGTGGCTGGAACCTAGTTCACACGGTCATGGGCAGGTCCCTTACTGGATTTGGTCCTGCTGCTGCAGCAGAGCGTCTTCTCAAGAAAAAGGAGGTAGGTATTGGTAGGCTTGTCATCATATATAATACATCATTGGCAAAGTGACAGAGCCTAGGAAAGTAGTTGATTTGGAGAAAATGTTTATGCTGAAATATTTGGAAAGTCCTCATTTCTCTTCATTGCCTTTATAGGTGATCTGAGACCAAATCGCAAGTGTCGAATCTATTGCAATTGTCTTCAGTCAAGTGTCATAAACAATTGACATTTTTAATAACCTATGGAAGTCTTTTCTTAGGTTGTTTAAAATGTTATTAGTGGTAGATTCTTCACTGGTTAAAGAATAAAAGTCACATTTGTTTATTTTTAGCAAGCCATTGTCATTGCCTCTATCAGTTTTAATTTCCATAGGAATTTTGATCAAACTACACCCTATACAAGACCACACATCTCAGATATGTTTGAGTTTTAGCATAGTTATGTCAAAGTCAAGATTACTTTTAATATATTCATAGTGGGCTTAAGTCAAGGGGATTGATGTCTTTTTTGGATGGCTGTCTGATGGTAAAAACCATTGAAACATTTTCAGCATTTATTTTACTGAAAATGCTGTCGTTTGCTAATTGAAAAAAATATGCTATATAGGTAATGCAAAGTAACAGGCAATTGAAATACTTTTCAGATTGAGAAGAATCGCCTATACAGTCCTCCGTTTATTCTGGCCCCTACCAAGGACAAACAATCCATATTAGTAGAGTCGTGTTCAGAGAAAATCGAGAAGAGTAATGTCTTGTTCTGTGTGTACTGTCTGTCTGAGGACCAGCGCTGGCTGCTGGGTGTCTGCACTGATGAATGTGGTGAACTCATGGAAACTTGTACTATTAACATCGAAATACCAAACAGGTATGTCTTAGTATGGTCATTGATTTTTTTCTTAGTGTTGTCCTTGATTTATCATACTGATAGTAGCAGTGTATTTAATAGATAGTAGCAGCGTATATAAATTCCTTTATTTATTAGAAGTATCATACCAGTAGTAACAGCATATTTACAACCCTTTATTGGTAAGACTAAGTATCATACCAGTGGTAAAACATTTAAAATTCCTTATTGGTAGGATTTTCTGAAGTATCAAGATTAGAAAGGGTTTTTTTTTTTTTTTTGTTTCTTACACAATAGCCATTATCTTCTGTGTTGATCTGATAAGTCAGTCCAAACAACATCATAAGTTAAACATAATCAATAATGTCACTGCTTTTGTAATGGTATAATAACGCCTGGCATGTTCATGATAAAACAAGATGAAATGTTTGATGAAATTGTTATGAAATGTGTTAGTGTATAACTTTTGTAATCTTAAGACTCATTTCAGCTTCTGCATTGATCAATAGGTTATTTGATCTATTAAAGAACACTCAAACTTCATTTTGTGAGAAATAAGAGGGATGGAAACACAATCCACCACTTTGTTTCAAAATTTTTCTCAATTTGGATATTTTCAGTATGCTTCAATTGGCAAACATTCTTAAAAACTCTACCTCAAACTTCAAATAATATTTTGAAGAATCTGTGTACATATACTATATTTAAATTGTAGAAATCGACGTCGGAAAGCATCTGCAAGGAAAATAGGACTAAAGAAATACTGGGATTTCATACTTGGGGTTGTATCAGTTGTGGCTAGTCCTTGTCGCCTGGTTATAAGTCGATTTGGGCGCATTGGGCATGGTGAAATGAAAGGTATGTTCATAAACCTGCATATTGTAAACGAAAGTTGATAGTCTTTTGGGATTTTTATGTTTTAAAAAACATGTTTTCTTCACTGAAACAATGCAACAGACTATGTTTTATTCCAGATATCTAGTTTTTTTTTTTTCAATTTTCAATCTTATTGAAAAGAAATTCAAAAAAAAAAAATAAAAAAAAGAACCCTTTAAAATCATGTTTTTGTTTAGGTAAGTAACAGATATATAATTCATTCAGATGAAAAATCATTACAATATAAAAATTTCAAGTCTTCAAAAGAATTGAAATGAAGAGAAGAAATTTCACTTCACTAGAACTGTTCATGCAATTTTCTTCTGCATTTTTAGGTTGGTCTGGACTGCTGAGCAAGAAAAATATCATGAGGGTCAGCAAACAGGTTAAGGAGTCTTGTGTGCAGTGTTCTCTCCTCAGTGGCACAGATGTACCTGGTGTACTTAGCGCCTGTCTTGTCTCCCTTGAAGCTCAACCCTCCTTCCATATCATGGCTGATGCTGTCAAGCTGGAGGAAAAGATGTCCTCTAAATGTCCTCTACAGACTCCAAGAGACACTTCCGTCACTCACATACTCGTCTTCCCAACTTCAGCCAAGGCTCAGGTAGAGGGTTAAGCTTTAAACTAGATTTCAGCTGTTGATTTATCTATTGGACAGGCTGAATTATAGTATTGTAAATTTTATACGATTACCTCTAGTTGTTTTGATGCTTAAATATCTCAATTTTGTCAGATTTGATCGACCTCATCTTAATTATTGGGTCAAAGGACTATGATTTGTAGACCTTTCTTCACGATCATCTAATCTGGTATGATAGACTCTTGTTAAACTAGTAAATGATTATCCATCACAAAGACTTAGTTCAAAGTTTAGCGAGTCTCAGATACTGTGATTAGCCATCTGCAGTTTGATGGGACTGTCATATATAATAATCAGAATACATGTAAAGAATAATGAAGAAAAGTTTAAGCACTATTATTCCATTTAACAATTCAATATGAATTGTACTAAATACTTGTAAGGACATCTTTTTGCCATTTTCTTGAAGGAAGGAACATTTCTGTGTGATTGAAGAGAAAATTGTTTAGAATATTTGTATTATTGAAGAAACCAGCATCCAGAACGATTTGTAAGAAGTTCTAAATATCAAATGTAATGAATGTTTCACAGGCCAATTCCAGTACAAGCGAGCCTGTTGGAGGTATGGATATAGTCAACCACAATTTAATGGAGGATAACATCTTGGAGTGTTTAGAAACGGACTTCAATGCCGACACAGACGAAGATTTATCCTTCCTCAACCTATTTGAGTCACTGAAGAGTGATCCACTTCCCAACATCCCAGGTTCTCCTACTGGCATGGACACTGGTCACCACCCTTCCATCGGCATGAATGACCACTCATCGGTATGATCATGCTTTCACATTCCACTTATTTAAAGATTTTATCAATAGTCACTTAATTTTCTCTACAACAGCTGTACCATGATAGTCACCGTCAGGTCACATCTGTTTCTGTAGAATTATAAATGCAGATTTTTAATTTTGCTTTTGGGTATTATTCCTAATGTCCGATTTCATTAATTGATAATCACTTGAGATTTATTTACCATTGACAGGTTGGACAGAATACATCAGGATCAGACCCTCAGGATGAGCCCACAAACCTCCTACAGCAGCCCCTGGCTATGGGGTACTACTTGTCCACAGCACGTCATGGACCACTTCCACGCTGGTTCTGGTCATCTGCTCCAGAAAATGAAAACCACACCCTCTCTTGCTTCAAGGCAAGTCACAAAACATTTTACAACAGTTACCTCCCCTGTATGTCTGCAGCTGTTCTTAATGAATACAAGTGAAAGATGTGCTTTATCCATTTCCGTTCTTTAATAACTATGATTTATATTGATTCTGTATTTGACCAATAACCAATAGCAATAAATCTTGGCAAATTGAGTCATAATTTGAACATTTATGTACATGAATTAATGTACTGAAATGAAAAGGAATTTCCTTTATATTGTGTTCACTTTATAGAAAATATCCAAAGTTAAATATTTTAAATGTTGGAACTTTTTTTTCAGGCTGCACTCCATGTACATAATTCACAAAAACATGACGACTTCATGCAGTCAACACCAAATCGGAATTCTCATCCATTGGATTCTGGCCTTACTTGTGACGTACTAAGGTGAGTGATGATTAATAATATGACTCTAAAAACATACTGAAAATGTTGGGTGTTCCTGTAAGGTAGTTCTGCTGAGTTAGTTTCATCCATCAGAGTGAAACTGTATAGGATGCAATTTTCTCTATCTCTCTCTTCCTCTCCCTCTCCATCTCTCTCTCTCTCTCTCTCTCTCTCTCTCTCTCTCTCTCTCTCTCTCTCTCTCTCTCTCTCTCTCTCTCTCTCTCTCTCTCTCATGTATATATATTTATTGATGCTTTCAAGGATGTTTTATTGTAATTTTACCAATTTTCAACTGCTTTTGTACAGTCGAACCAAATTTAGTTGCTATATTATTGTTATCAAAAATGAGATTTAAAGATGTCAAAGATTGTTACACAATTCTGCTTATTTCATTGCTTAATTACAAACAGAATGATAATGTTTAAGGTCAAATTAGCTACTTGACTTAGATTTACTCACTTAAAGAAAACAGATTCTACAATTGCTGTTTTGTGTTTGTAGGTATGTGTTGGAGAACTTTAACTCCTTGTCGTGGTTAACATATGATGTGGTAGAGAACGATCGACAGTCTTGTCTGCCCATACACTTTGTCGTGCTACTACAGATGTACCATGCATTGAATGCATTTGTGTGATAGAAATTATATGATGCTGAAAAACTACAAGGACAGTCACACCAGACCAAGCAGGGTAAAAAGACAGGACATGGAGAAAAGTTATGTGTGGTGCTATAGGTGAGAGCTAACAATCTGAAGCCAGTATCAGGGATAGTTTGGTGAGCTTCAAAGAAAGTATTCAAAATAATGTATATGTCTCAAAAATGCCTGGCTATGAACAGATCTGCGGATAAGAGTGCGCTCTGAAAAAAAGATGTGATGCTTTGAAAAGTTGTGTTTTGATAGAGAGGAGCAGCAGAAATGGTGCTACATGCATTTGTCTGAGAGGGACCTATAAGAATACAGGAAAAGTAGACTTGTGTTCTTGCAAATGTGAGTGGTGCTACCTAGGGAAACCATTTGTGGACTACATATAAAGACACAAACACAATGGATGCCCACAAAGTAGACACCCGATGTTGAGGTGTCCTGGGCATAGGTTGTGGTGCTACTACAGAGAAAAGTCTGTGTAATGAGAAAGTGTTGTAAAGGACATTTAAGGCTATACATAGGCTTAACTATAAACTATGTACTGTAAGTACAAGGTGGTAATTATTGAATTTGGTCTAACCACAGTATAAGAATCTCTGTATAGGATCAGATGGACCGTTGATCTCTTTTTTTTTTATTGATATACACTGTACAAGCATTGTGTTTGAGAGAAATCTATGAAGTGATATGCATGTCATTGTCAGAAGTTTTTGTCAAGTCATGAATGTATCCCACTAAAATCTACTGTCAAAGTTTGTTGGCAAAATATTCTAATGAAATGAATTGAAAACCTCAGGGAGGAAATTATTAATTACAATTTATTGACTATTTGTTAATATTGTATACAGGAAACTGGCAATATGATTTAGAGATTAGAGACAAAATAGATTAATTTATTTGTTAGAGTTTTGTCAATTAGCAGTGTGACATTATGTGTTTTCATTTTATAATGAAACAACACCCCCAACCCCTCTATTTATTTTCGATGAAGATCAAAGTGGATTTCAGTATGTGATAGATTGTTGACTTGGTGTATTGTTTAACTTATATTGTTTCTACATTTTATAAAAACATCCATACTCCAAAACACAAGAAGATTATCTGGAAACCTTTTCCTTTTGAATGAATATAAAACAAAAATTATAGTCGTTTGGGGTGTTCAGCTCTTCAGCATTTTATGATACCGAACCAGAAAAAATACAATATTCATTATGTTCCTGCACCTCAATTCTTGTAACAGAGGTGTAGAAGGATCTTTTATTTGAACGCACAACTCATTACGCCAACCTTGGTTCATTGAGAGCTCATAATCAGAGGATTAATTCTGGCGAAATTTTAAGTTCAGGGTTAAAGATGAAAACTAGAGTTGATACAGTATATAACCTGTCTGAATGGAAAGGCACCAATACCAAATTATCCTGTTCATTTATACAGTTGTCCTATTTACAGAGATCCAAAATTGTCAGCATTAGTAATGGAGAGTTTGCATATATCAATGAATTACTTATTTACCTATTACAAAAGGTTTACAGAAAGTCTGACATTGATCAGTCAGTAATTACGTAGGCCTCATAAATCATGGTAAGTTCAAGATCACCAATGTGCAGAATAGAAAGGGTCCAGATTAAGTAGGTTGTAATTACTATCAAAAGATACAGGATCAAGCCATGATGATAGAAGTGGACAGGGATCTGGATTGGATATGGTATCTTGTAAGCACAATAATCCTGAGGCTTGTTCTAATTTGGTACAGTGATAGGGCATATAAAGAGGATAATGTTTTCAATAAGATGTGGCCACAAGTGATTTATTGCTTGTTCAAAATGCACAAAATGCTTATTGAAATTTTAGATTATATTTGCTGTAATTTATATTTTGTAAGTTCAAAAAGCTGCCTCAGATGAAAAAAAAATCACTTGAAGTTTCTTATTTGAAATTCCTGAAGAGAGACAACTTTGTTGAAATTGCAAGTGAGATAAGTCAAAAGTCACAGTTATTGGTCAAAGGTCTCGTTTCTGGTACACATGTTGTTGCCATCATCCTTAACACTTCTTACAATAAGTTTATGAATGGATGTATGAAAAAAATATTGCATGAACATGTGTACGAATGTATATATTTATATGTACTTATAAAAAAGTGTGTATTTCAGAACGTCATGTCACTGTCTACAATGAAAACTGTTATACATAGTTACCTACTTTATAAACTGATGTGAAGAAGGATCCATGATAATATTAAATGAAATTGATGGAATGATAATTTACTAAGACCTAAGTACTTTTGATAGATGCTTTCTAACATTCTGTTGTGCACGTAAGGGAATTGATTAATATTATCATTTTCATTTCCTTGGTACAGTTGCATCAGCTAACATTTTATTCTTAAATGATTGCATCTTTTCTTGAAAGGACTAGAAGACCATATCCAATTTGTGGTGAACAAGTTCTAAATATACATTCTCCAACGATATTAATTTAGACCATTTGAAATCATGAAGATCTAATTTTATAAATGCTCAAAAAGAAGCAAACCATAATAATATTTTTCGTGCAATCTCATATCATTACAGTCAGCCTGTCACAATACTCTGGCAGTTTGTATCGAATTAATTAATTGAAGAATTCAGTGTTTTGCATGCCAGCACTATTCAACCTGACATTGTAAATTATTTATTTTGATGAAGGTATTCTATAATGAAAGTTTGTTAATAACTGTTAATATTGTTCTCTTGTTTTCGAGGTTTTATATGTGAATGTATTTGCGGATTACCAAGTGCTGGAAGTTAGGCTTTATGATTTTACTGTGACGCTATTTCTTTCTTTAATCTTTTAAGTTCAAATGACACAATATTTTGTAAAGAAAACCAGGTCTCTGGTCCCCAGAGTACCACAGTATGTTTAAATCATTCCTTGGGTTCATGCTGAAAAGAGCATGAAGAACAAAGAGTTAACGTGATTTAATGACTGTGTAAAGATTTTGTTTTTGATCCTGAAATTACTGTCTCAATTCATAGCAATGTTGTTTGCTTGAATTTATGTTAAAATACTAATTGATACTGAATGGTTGTTGATGAAAGTCGGAACGTTTTGTTATTTGTTGTTTTAGGATATTTAGTAATTACAAAATTTCAACATTCCATTAGCTTATACCAAACAAAACCACATAAATGTATGTTTAGAGAGAGAAAATTTGCATTGATAGACTGAGCTGATACTGCTCATGTAACACAAGGACATGTAATCTCTTGCGAAATAAAGAAAAGTAATCATCTAGTCACAGTTTGTATGTATAGGTATAAATATGATGAGACAGGGAGACAAAATTACTGATTTAACTTTGTGGTCTGTTGCATTAGCTGTACACCTATAGCTAGTCCTTCCACTACGTTAAAAATATACTAGTCTTAAAACTGACAGAAAATCCTTAGCAGTCAACATTGAATGAGCTACATCAAATCTAATTGCTGTTAGAAGCTAGTAAGAAAAGGTTTGACAATCATCCATAAATATTTTGTTTTTATAGTAACAACACTACAGGAAATGAAATCTTAATAAAAACATTCTTTTATGGATCTGTACATGTCATAATACACTACCACAAAAAAAAAGCATTTAGGCAATTTACATTCAGTAGCAGTGATGGTGCTTGTCTTTCAAAAACACGATCTAAAGTAATCATCTCCAAAATTATTCATTACATTGATTACAAATAAAAGTGAGGGAAAAGTAATTCATTTACACGCAAGAATTTGAAAATCACCACATAATATTGGGGGGAGATTTGGAAATATAATATAGTTGAATACATTGTTACAATTTTTTATTAACATATCACTAAAAAGTTCTAGTCAAAAGCCTAAAATATAGAATGTATCTGGATATATACATCAATTTCAAATCGTTTTTTGTCACATAGGTTAAAGTGCTATTTGATGCCTATACAGCTTTAAATTGGGCACACTTTTCATTTGAGTACATATAAAGAGTACTGTCACAATGATATAGATTTTTAAGAAAAACTACCAGGGTAACCTTATTACAACTACAATATCTCAAAACTTTCTAGTTACAGCTAACTTCTGAAACATACATTTTTGGGAAGATAGAAGAAAAACTTCTGTAATATCCATTAATTGTTGAGATTGGTAATCCTATCTTTGATTATATAGATCAGTATTTCTACTTGTGAAAGACTACTAGGTAATCCCAATAGATTTTCTGGTCTTTTCTATCAGATATCCTTTTTCAGGATGGATAAGCATTAAACATAAAAAACCATGTAAAGTGTTAATGTTTTAGCAATATGCAGACCTGAAAAAGTTTATATAACACTTGAGATTTGGAAATTTGTAGGTTAAGTCCATCACAGTGGTAACTTATCCTCTTCAGATGCCAAAAATGTCTTTTTAAGGCTTTTCAGGCACGTTTTCTTTTCTATAGTGGATGCAATATTATTTTTGAAGATTCTTTTAGCCTTGTTAAGGTGATGTCGAAGCTTTTCCTCTTGAAACTGGATATTTTTTAAGTACTTGAATTAGTTCTGGTTCATCATACAGGATATTATAATAATGATTAATGCATATTGTTACAGGTTGTAAAAGTAGGCCGTTGTTGATAGGGCCATCAAGTGTTATGCATCTATTTTATTAGACTATCAACATTACCTACTCACTATATATGTTGGCAGCTAAAATGTATAAAATCTATAGGAACATGGTTAACATATATGCACTTATTGAAGGAATGCATACCCTTTGACAATACACTTGTATCCAATTTTTGATGAATTAAAAACTTCAGTGTTTATATCACACTTAATTTCCTATCTTAGCAATACAGAATATTGATATCTATCATACTAATTTCCTGTTCTAGTATTACAATACGTTGATCCAATCAAGGGTAGATAACTGTTAAATGTAAAATAAACATTGAAGACTGAAAAGTACAGCAGTCTCTTGTCTTAATGTGTAATTAGGTTGATACTGTCATTTGATCATGTTTAACTGTGAAAGGTACAGCTGTTGCTTTCCTTTATCCCTAACTAGGTTGATACGAACTCTGTCATTGGATCATGAAAATGTTTTTTGACTTAAGCTACTACACAGTAACTAAATTACCACACATGCATGTAAAGTAGCTATGATCAAAATATGGATAGATTTTTGTATGATCAGTGACTTTACTTACTAGATATAACTAATACCTTGATCTGATGAAAAAAGATTAATAATAGGAAGTCTCTTCTTGGTTTTTTACTCGCAATGTTCTAGTCAAAACATAGCCTTTTGTAGAAAGACTGGTTAATAGTAGCAGTATGAAGTTTTTTGGCAGGTTACCACATAATAATAGACATCAATGTGAAGGTGGAAAAAGCATAAATAAAGCTAGCAGTGATCTGCAAATGTTTCATTGATACCTAGATTTGTTAATAGCTTTGAAGAATGATTTTTTTTCAATTTATTTGTAGAAACGGGAAATAATTTCAATTTATTTGTAGAAACGGGAAATAATTTCAATTTATTTGTAGAAACAGGGGGAATAATTTCAATTTATTTGTAGAAACAGGGGGAATAATTTCAATTTATTTGTAGAAACAGGGGGAATAATTTCAATTTATTTGTAGAAACAGGGGGAATAATTTCAATTTATTTGTAGAAACAGAGGTGATAAACAATAGTGGCCATTTCAAACCAGCATAAACTGTCTCTTACTGATGTTACTGTATTACAACTGTTTGATATGGTACTTGGTTATTGAAAATATATCTATTGACCTGCTGGGAAAATTGTCGCTGAGTCTTATAAACAGTATTTTTATTAGAAAGAAAGAAATTATGTTAAAATATTTTTCATTTAATTCAATCTGCAAAAAAATCTGAAATCGTATCAAAACAAAGTTGTTGATAAAATGTTGATCATTATCTGTGTCCCGCATTTTGTCTTCCTATACAAGATGTCTAACCTATGTGTTCAGATACACTTAATTAACACACTTCTAGAGTACCACATATACCAGTGTCATAAATAGGTACCAAACTGTAGATTTCATACTATTTATTGAACAAATAAATTTGTTGTGTTGAAGTTTCGCTATGAGAAAACATTTCAAACTCAAATGAATTTTTATATGTCAAAATTATCATGAAGTCACAAGGTGTATATATTTATAGGATATTGAATTATGTTGTCATGGTTACTTGCCAAAGATTTGTAATCTTATTGGAGCATGTGTGACAGTAACTACTTTGAAGATGTGATCTTGTAAATAGTAGGGTCCTAATATCAGTTTAGAGATCCGTGTCAATGTTTATGACGGGCATGTGAGGTGCAAATGGGTGGAAAATGATCATCCAAAATTTACAAATATATATCTATTGTTTTGTGTAATTTTTGTATAGCGAATATTTGTATATGCATACATAATTGTACTACTTTGGAGCTTCAGTGAGGGGCATGTCTACAGGACATTTTATTGAAGATGTTTACAGTATTAATGCTATGACATATTAATTACAAGGACTGTTCTCCCCACTGGAGCCCCAACTTGGCTGGGTTGTCTTCCTTATTTGTACCGACAATAGGACAGCCTTAGCCACCATGTCAGTTGCCATGGCAACGAACAAAAATACCCCATTAGCATCCTCATTGGATACCATGACAATGTCATGGATTTTCATGAATTACATTGGTCACCATGTTTTACTATTACATTATACAGCAATGAACAGTGTTTGTGTACAACTCATTGTGTACATATGATTAGTGTAGATGAACTGTGATGTCATTTTTATTATTATTAATAATATAATTCATGAATTGTGTCATTTCTTTATTCATTACTTGTCAATTTGATATGATCATGACTGAAATTTGTGTTATTGAAAACAAGTACATTCAGCGATTATTTTTTTCATCGCTAGAAAAATCAAGAATGGTACTAGCTCATGAAAAAATAAAATTCAGACTCATGTTACTTTTCTGTTTGTTGTTGTGATATTTGTTACTTTCTAAATTTAGGGAGAACAGTTTTATGGCAAACCACTACACAATGAACCCAGTGTTTTCTACTTACTGGATGGTATCCTGGACCCCATCTGTTGGGACAGTAAAGTTGTGAAGAATGTTGTCCAGAAAGTCCGGCCTAGCACCCTGGTTTGGATATTATTGGTGGCCTCCCATCTCCTTTCATTGTATTAGGAACTCTGTCAGGTCGAGTTGCTGAACGGGTTATAGTTAATAGTTTGTTTATGTATAATGAACTCTGTCAGGTCGAGGTGCTGAACGGGTTATAGTTAATAGTTTGTTTACGAAGATTTGATAAGTAGAGTCAGATAAATTATTAAATTGCATCTTACAACTGTTTAGTCTTTCTAGGATACACCAGCAATGCAAAATACCTAAGTATCAAAACTATAGAGGTGACTGAATTTTTTTTTTTTTAATGTTAATATCTAGGATGGAAGATACACTAACCTCATAATTCAGTGATTTATATGTGTATATATGAAGAAAGGAGATGTAACCCGTTACATTTTGTAGGATAACATACAATAATTTGTTTGTTGAACGGAAGGAACCGACTCCATACATTTCAACAGTCACATATGTTGAAGTGAAAAGAAATACCGACGGCAAGATGATGTTCACAGCATATAGTACTACAAAGATTAAGTAAACCTGTATAAAACACTGCTAGTTCTTGTATCCTCAACATCTAGAACAGGATTACGTCCCTTCATCCTTTCCCGGGGTCAGCATCATCTTCACTACTAGTAACCTTTAGTACTTATACCCCGCCTCTTGCCAGAGCTACAGGGATATAGAAGATGCTCTATGATGTTGACGGTTACATTTTGGCGGGAAAATCGTCTGGTATTTGTCACCAAATACTACGTATAACTACTCTGTAACCTTAAAAAAAAGCAGGTGGAAGCAAAACTAAATATTGTTATATAAACCCAGTATTACAGTTTATCATAGATATTCAAAAGCAGTGAAGATAATTATCACGGTTGTGTTAGAAAGGTTTCACTGTAAGCTATGATTAAACTGCGATGAGATCCTGGGGTAGCCACATAGATTCTATTGTGGCGTTATATAATAACATACGTAGTGATTGGGTGTCGGTTTTCTTATCTAGGCAATGGTTTATAGGACATTAATAATGGTAAGCGATAAGGTCTGTCATCAACTTAGTCGACAATAATACATGTTTATTGGAGGTTCTGGCAATAAACAGGCATTAATTAAGTAGGTTAATAATACCACGAAAGAAATTAAGGGGTAGCTTGAAAGATACAACAGAAATGTTTTGAAATTTCATTACAAGGTTCGGTTGTGATTTGCCAGAGTATCCACGCTGCACAGAAACTCACTGGAGGCAACGCCATGAAAAGGGAGTAGTTCCAAACCAGAATTGATAAAACTAGGACTAAATATAAACTAATGACATGTTCACAGAGTTTCCAGAAGATTGACAAATTTCAATGACAACCATTGTGTAAATGTATGCTAACTAACAAATTTAAAGTTCTCAAAATGTTAACCGCGATAATAAAAGCGGGTATGCTTACAATATACAATATTTATCGATGGCAAAGAATATTTGGAGTCAGTGTTGCATTTTTTGTTACATTAAATCGTCATGTGAAAAACAATGTGACCCTAGAATATGCCCGTTACGCTATGTCTTGTTCTGGTATAGAATTATCAGTTTCTCTTCACTAAATAACCATTCATTGAAAACAACATATGAATATATTTTTTTAACGTATGGTTTTCAAAATGTTGGCAAAAACGTTTTTAGTAAATGTTTTATAACTTCATCGTAACGTGGAATCTACGTAGCGCTAGATCCTAACGGAAATCGTTTTTGGCCATCGACAGGTAGTACACGTGACATTGATGATGTTCTACATCATTGTACACTAGTTTGTCGGTCACAGTGATAACATAATAAGTAGCAATAGTTGGCTGTTACCAGAGCTCGCCATCTCGTGTGACAGTTACGATAAAGCATGGCGTACTGCTCCGTTGTTCAGCTGTAGTAAAACCAAGCAACATTAAACAGTATTCTCATTGAGAGATCGGGGCACCATTAATTTTTGATAAATGTGGAAGGAATTCATGCATGTCCCAATAAATCAACAACGGAAGTTTCTACCACACAGGTTCTACACAAGATATATCGCCCGCAAGGTCACCTACACGTATTTACATCTGCACAGGTAAAGGGGACGCCTTCACAAGGTACACACAGCCGTAGGAGTAACAACAGTAAAACATGCACAGGTAAGTTGTACGAGATAGTTTATTAATTTATAACTGACTTTCCCGCGGCAGTTTTGCAGGTGTTTACTAGTCCTCGACAATATCGCATCGTCGACAGTGTCAGCTGTTAATCACCAGGTTGATGTCAATAATACGATACACATCTTATCTGGTATATCTTGCATTGTTTGTTTCTAGTGTAACGGTCCATCGACCCATTTTGAATCGACACCACTCGGTATGTTTCGCGACAACGCGTACGGAGGCCAGTGAAAAGCGAAACTGGTATACTGTAGAAAAACTTGTATATACCTTCTCGGGAAAGAATTAATAAATACGTTTATCAGCATGTATGCATAGGTAGACTTATTAACACGTCGATCGGTGTGTACATATTGACTGATTTATACACATGTATATCAGTGTGTATATGTATATCAGTTTGTATACATGTAGACAGATATATATATATGTAGGTCAGTGTATATATGTAGACTTATTTATATATATGTAGATCAGTGTGCAGACAAATTTATATATATGTAGATCAGTGTGTATATGTAGACTTATTTGTATATATGTTGATCAATGTGTATGTAGACAGATTGATGTATATGTAGATCAGTGTGTAAATAGATTTATATATATGTACTTCAGTGTGTATGTTTAGACAGATTTATATATATGTAGATCGGTGTATATATGTATATATATATCTATATATATATATATGTAGTAGATCAGATGTATATATATGTAGATCAGTGTATATATGTATACTTATCTATATATATGTAGATCAGTGTGTATGTGTAGACAGATTTATATATATGTAGATCAGTGTGTATGTGTAGATAGGTTTATATATATATAGATCTGTGTGTATATATATGTAGACTTATTTATATATATGTTGATCAATGTGTATGTAGATAGATTTATATATATGTAGATCGGTGTGTATATATATATATATATGTAGATCAGTGTGTATATGTAGACTTATTTATATACATGTAGATCGGTGTGTATATGTAGACAGATTTATATATATGTAGATCGGTGTGTATATGTAAACAGATTTATATATATGTAGATCAGTGTGTATATGTATACTTATTTATATATATGTAGATCAGTGTGTAGACAGATTTATATATATGTAGATCAGTGTGTAGACAGATTTATATATATGTAGATCAGTGTGTAGACAGATTTATATATATGTAGATCGGTGTGTATATGTAGACAGATTTATATATATGTAGATCGGTGTGTATATGTAGACAGATTTATATATATGTAGATCGGTGTGTATATGTAGACAGATTTATAGATATGTAGATCAGTGTGTATATATAGACAGATTTATATACATGTAGCCATCCTTTGAAGCAGGTCAGAGTTGTTTTGATTGATTTCTTCAGTGTATGTCAGTCCAGTAGGGAATTCATGTTTTATTTCTAAAACATCCTGACCAGATGTATCAGAACCATAAACATTACACTTGCATTAGTTACGTTATCTCAGCAAAGGTCAATCTCTTCTGTTAAACCCATTTAGGTAAGTTGACATTTATATGAACTTTCGTACACAAATGGAGTCAGGAGTGACTCTACTTTCTCTACTCTGTCACTTACGTTAATTATGTTACATTTAGGATAGTGTAATCTTATATAGCATATAATTAAACTGCCGATTATTTCGTTAAGATGTTAGAAGTATTTCGACGCCAGTCCATGTTATGTGTGTATTGTATTACACTGTTGTCGACTGTGGTCTGTTTATTATTATCATTATTTATATTTATTTTTGTAGTGGCCAACACCGGTCAGTGTTCTGGACATGGTTTAGTTATATAGTTGTTGAATAACCTACACCAGACCATTTTTTGAGCCCGGTGTAGTGGTCAAGTGACCGCTCTGTGGTGCTGTGGTCAGGTGACCAGCACCGCTCCGTGGTTTGTGGACGTTGTAGTGGTCCAATGACCGACACCAGCCCGTGTTCTAAGTTTGCGCACTTGTACAGGTTTCGAGTGGCCGACTACAGTCCGAGCTCTGGAGGACGAATGACCGACACTAGCTTGTATTTTGGGCACGGTTTTGTGGCCGTGTTCAGACCATGTGTTTGGTGCGATGTAGTGGGCTAGTGGTAATCTGTGTTTTGGTGTGGGATGACAACAGTTCGTGTCTTTAGGCGATCCACAGAGACCTCTACAGTCCCTGTGTATAAACCAGTAGTGTTATACCCATTCTGATCTTCCATACAAGAATTCTTCTCGGGATATACTCAGGTGTCCTTGTGCTGAAAATTATGTAGATTCTAACCCGAGTGAGCAAGGGTATACGGACTCGTTCAGGATGGCAATCTGTAGTTAGTCGACTACCTGTATAGATGGGACACGTGTTGAGGTAAGCATACACATGGACTGGTCTGCACACATGCTGTACACGTTGGGAAGAAGGAGCTAAATGTCACGTGTTTATGGTATTACTCCATTGATGTGTAACGATAATACCACGACACTTGTAGTTTCTATGTTTCAGAAGACACAGCTTAATGTGTACCTATATTTGTGAACTCTTTCGTTTCTATTTATTATTACCCGAAAATATTTGCCGATGGACAGTTTGTCGATGTGCGTTACCACATCCGTCCGTCGTCCTTCAATAACACCTTAAAACAAGACTTCTTCTTCACTACCGGTTAGATTTCAATTAGATTTGACAGGAAGAGTGCGATGGTGGTGGTAATATTTAAAATTTTACATATGGAGTGGCTGACAAACCGGAGGCGACTGCGATGCGGGGCTAAGTGGTTGAAATTTATTTACATCGCTATAAATGACTTCTCAAGAAATATGTACCGTATATCATTCATCTGTGATTGGAAGCTTTTCAGAGCAGATTGGAATTCAAAATTGTACAAATGAGGGGCTTATCATCGGCACTAAGGGGCTGGTCCATAGGGAATATAGTGATATACAGCACTTTCATTTTTAAAATCCTTCTTTTCTGCTTCCATAAAGGTATTTTGTCAATATTTTGTCAAAATTTAATTCGAAGGTTTGAATTTCCTCATGTTTTGGGAAAACGTAATGTTCTGAAGTCGGAAATCTAAGGTACCTAGGTGAGTGATACAGGTCCCACGGACCTCTCGTTCTTTTGATAATTTATCGAATTCTGATACGTTACATATAAAATTTTACGGTGATCTAACATAGTCTGTTATCGTAACATGAACTTTTCTTCAGTCAGTTAGATTCTCCTTGATATTCTACTGCTCGTTAAATGTGATGACATTATTGTCTCTATATAAAAACTGTACTCATTCTAATATACAACTTCCTTAGTTCATCGATTCGCCCATTCACACAAGTCGCTAAATAAGAATTCTAAATAGTAACAAGCTTCACTACGAAGACATGTAACAATGGTCTGCAAAATCTAACCGGGATATGGCGCTTCAGTTTTTCACATTGTGTGGGTTGTCAAAAATTAAATTTTGGAAAACGTGGTGGCGTTAATGTACTGTATAAAATAACTGAGTTCGTAACGTTCATTAGAAAAAAAATGGTGACCAAAGTTAAACTCGGGAGACACATGTCGACAACGATGGACTTTGGGTGACAGGTCGATAATAATTGCTTTCGAGAGACACATGTCAACAACGATGGACTTTGGGTGACAGGTCGATAATAATTGCATTCGATAGACACATGTCTACAGCGATGGACTTTGGGTGACAGGTCAATAATAACTGCCTTCGAGAGACACATGTCAACAGCGATGGACTTTGGGTGACAGGTCGATAATAATTGCCTTCGATAGACACATGTCTACAGCGATGGACTTTGGGTGACAGGTCGATAATAACTGCCTTCGAGAGACACATGTCAACAGCGATGGACTTTGGGTGACAGGTCGATAACAACTGACGTCGAGAGACACATATCAACAACAACTGACTTCGAGAAAGTCTCGTCGACAACTATGTACTTTGTGATACTTATGTCGACAAATATGAACTTTGGGAAACTTATGTCGACAAATATGGACTTTGGGAGACATATCGAAATCGCAAAGCATTCTGGGAAGATATGTATTCGTGCATTTAAGACAGGTAGTAACGTTTTAGAAATACTGAGTAGGCAGGCGTTGGTTGTGAAATTCTGTTTGTCAAATTGAATTCTTTCAGAGCTGTATTTAGTTAACCGTATTAAAGTGCCCGAAAGTAGCCAACAGTCATCCTTTGCATGACTACTGGAAGTTTTCAACCTGTTTCTGTCGACATCAGTAGATCTACTACTGGTCTTATGTTGAACATCTTATCTCCCATTCCATTCTCCGAGGTCCTGTCAGATTAATACAAAACCCTGATGAAATAACAACACTTTAGTGTTATATTGTCACGAAAATATCATTAATTCTTTCTCAGACGGTACATTGCCGATTCTTTCAAATTCATGTACACGAACGTTGTTTTTATCCAAATGCCGAGAAACATCAATATTGCTAAAACTGAACAGTAATACTTATATACTGTACCAAAGCTAAGAAGCGCAGATATATCGATATACGTTTAAAATTAGACTACATAATTGTTGATGGCTCCTAAGCAGGCGTGTCTATGAAAAGCAACACGCGTCATAGACGTCCAAGTGCTTGGTAATCTATGACAGTGCTCCACCAAAATTATAACGTGTCAGTATTAAAGGTTGAATATAAAACTAAGACCCCTCCCGATATACATGAACCTTTTCATTCCAGATATCTGATTAGAAACATATCCCAACTCACTTCCAATCTATTATGGATAAGATACAGTATTATTAATAGTTAAATTTCATACTTGGTATAACACATATATCGCACATCCGAAGTGCAAGAAAACGTGTCTGACAGTGTTTAACCCATGATAATGAATATTTCACCATACTATTATCTGGTGAGAGGTGAACGTTCCCTTGTCTGTCTGCCTCTTTCGTCCTTGCTCATTTAGGATCGATATATAATGGGTCT